TAATAATCTTGACAGCTTTGAGGAACACTGATCAGGAATTTTGTAAAATGTCTTTTAATGTCCATCAGTCTGTTATTTGTATCAGGTTAAACTGGAGTCCCTGAGCCAATTATCCCTTTCTCTGCTGCTGCCACCTACTATGGTAACCAAAGCACTTCAACCCCACTCAACACGGGTCATTGCTTTTCAGTTCTCTGGGAACCATTCTGATAGTGAATTTGTGTGATTCTCTGTTGTCCTTGCCAGCATGTTAAATATCATATCCTAAAAGGATGGTCCCAGATCAGCAAACTCTTCTTTCTCTAGTTTTACATTCTGGCTGAAGGTACTGATGACCATGGAAAAGATTGAGAATATGCAAAATTGTGGTGATATCTCTCGATATACATAAGCATCTTAATAAAGAAAATTAAGACTCCATTTTCAAGAATCAAGAAGGTCCTAGGTGATGCCTGGGTCTATTGTGCAGTGTTTAGCTTTTTGGCTGGCACATAGAGAGTAGGCCATCCAAAAACATGCATTTCTTTTCTTTTCTCTTCTCTTCTGTTGGTTCTCTCTTATGGTTTGGCCTTTGAAAGAAAATTGCATGGTGAGCCTTCAGTTGCCTAGGAAGATGAAATGTGAAACAACTTATAGAAAGGTGTCATTCAAGACAGTTCAGATCCTAAAAATCATTGAGAATTTTTTTTCAGCTTAGAGATTAAAGGGTACATGTGCAGGTTTGTTACATGGATAAACTGCAGGATGTTGAGGCTTGGGATCCCAACAGTCTTGTCATCCAGGCAGTAAGCCTAATACCCAGGAGTGGTTGCTCAGGCCACACCCCCTCCCTCCCTCTTCCATCTAGTTGTGTGCAGTGTGTACTGTTCCCATTTTTATGTTCATGTGTATCCAATGTTTAGCTCCCACTTATAAGTAAGAACATGTAGTATTTGGTTTTCTGTTCTTGCATTAGGTCATTTAGGATAATGGCCTTCAACTCCATCCATGTAGCTGCAAAAGACATTATTTTTTCTTTTTTATGGTTGCATAGTATTCCTTCGTGTACATGTACATTTTCTTTATCCAATCCACTGCTGATGGACACTTAGGTTGATTCCATGTGTTTCCAAATAGCACTGCAATGAACATACTGGTAGATGTGTCTTTCTGGTAGACGTGTCTTTCTGATAGAATGAATTGTTTTCCTTTGGACATATACCCAGTAGTAGGATTGCTGGGTCAAATGGAGTTACATTTTAAGGTCTTTGAAAATCTCCAAATTGCTTTCCACAGTGGCTGAACTAGTTTGCATTCCCACCAACAGTGTATAAACATTTATTTTACTTCACAGCCTTGCCCACATCAGTTGTTTTTTGATTTTTAAATAATCATCATTCTCACTAATGTGAGATGATATCTCATTGTGGTTTTGATTTGCATTTCTTTCTTTCTTCTATGATTAGTGATGTTGAGCGTTTTTTCATATGTATTTTGGCCACTGATATGTCTTCTTTGAGAAGTATCTGTTCATGTCCTTTGCTCATTTTTTAATTGAATTTTTTGTTTCTCACTTGTTGATTTGTTTATATTCCTCATAGATTCTGGATATTAGCCTTTTGTCAGATGTAGAGTCTGTGAATATTCTCTCCCATTCTGTAGGCTGTCTGTTTAGTCTGTTAGTAATTTATTTTGCTGTGCAGAAGCTCTTTAGTTTAACGAGGTCCTACTTATCCATTTTTGTTTTCATTGCAGTTGCTTTTGGGGGACTTAGCCATAAATTCATTGCCAAAACCATGTCGAGAAGGGTATTTCTTAGGTTTTCTTCTAGGATTTTTATAGTTTGAGGTGTTATATGGTTTTTATTTTTCTTTCTTCTAAGTTAAAGGGGTACAAGTGCAGGTTTGTTGCATGGGTAAATTGCATGTTACGGGGGTTTGGTATACAGATAATTTTGTCACCCAGGTAATCAGCATAATACCTGATGGGTAGTTTTTCAATCCTTGTCCTCATTGCCCCCCAACCCTCAAGTAGGCCCAGTGCCTATAGCTCCCTTCTTTGTATCCATGTATACTCAAACTTTAGCTCTAGCATGTAAGTAAGAACATGTGGTATTTGCTTTTCTGTTCCTGCATTAATTTGCCTAGGATAATGGCCTCCAGCTTAATCCATGTTGCTATCAATGACATTATTTCATTTTTTTAATAGCTGTGTACTTTTCCATGGTATATATGTATGAGGTCTTATATTTAAATCTTTATCTTGAGTTACTTTTCATATATGCTAAGAGAGAGGGGTTCAGTTTCATCCTTCTGCATATGAGTAGCCAGTTATCCCTGGACCATTTGTTGAATAGGGTGTCCTTCCTTCATTGCTTATTTGTGCTGATTTTGTCAAAGATCAGATAGTTGTAGGTGTGTGGGGTTATTTCTGGATTCTCTATTGTGTTCCACTGGTCTTTGTGTCTTTTTTTTTCCCAGTACTATTCTGTTTTAATTATTATAGCCTTGTAGCATAGAATTTTTTGCTTAGGATTTCTTTGGCTATTTGGGCTCTTTCTTGATTCCAAACAAATTTTAGAATAGGTTTTTCTAATTTTGTGAAAACTAAAATTGGTATTTTGATAGGGATGGCATTGAATCTGTAAATTGCTTTGGGCAGTGTGGCCATTTTAACTATATTGAGTCTTCTAATCCATGAGCATGGAGTATTTTTCCATTTATTTGTGTTGCTCTGATTTATTCTGGTAGTTGTCTTTGTAGAGCTCTTTCACCTCCTTCATTAGATGAATTCCTGGGTATTTAATTTTCTTTGTGGCTATCGTAAATGGGATTGTGTTCTTCATTTAGTTCTCAGCTAGAATGTTAATGGTGTATAAAAATGCTATTGATTTTTGTACATTAATTTTGTAGCCTGAAACTTTACTGAATTTGTTTATCAGCCCCAGACGTCTTTTGGTGGAGTTGCTAGCATTTTCCATGTATAGAATCATATCCTTAGGAAACAGAAATGGTTTGACTCCTTCTTTTCCTATTGTGATGCCTTTTATTTCTTTCTCTTGTCTAATTGCTCTGGTTAGGACTTCCAGTACTATGTTGAATAGGAATGATGAGAGTGGGCATCCTTATCTTGTTGCAATTCTTAAGGGGAATGGTTCTAGTTTTTGCCCATTCAGTGTAATGTTGGCTGTGGGTTTGTCATAGATGCTTCTTATTATTTTGAGGTATGTTCCTTCAATGTCTAGTCTGTTAAGAGTGTTATCGGCCGGGCGTGGTGGCTCACGCCTGTAATCCCAGCACTTTGGGAGGCAGAGGTGGGCAGATCACGAGGTCAGGAGATCAAGACCATCCTGGCTAACCCGGTGAAACCCCGTCTCTACTAAAAAATACAAAAAACTACCGGGTGAGTTGGCGGGCGCCTGTAGTCCCAGCTACTCTGGAGGCTGAGGCAGGAGAATGGCGTGAACCTGGGAGGCAGAGCTTGCAGTGAGCCAAGATAGCGCCACTGCACTCCAGCCTAGGTGACGGAGTGAGACTCTGTCTCAAAAAAAGAAAAAAAGAAAAAAAGAAAAAAAAAAGACTGTTATCATGAAGGAATGTTGGATTTTATCAAAGGTTTTCTCTGCATCTATTAAGATGATCAAATGATTTTTGTTTTCGATTCTGTTTATGTGGTGAATCACATTCATTGATTTGCATATGTTGCACCCACCTTGCATCCCAGAAATAAAGGCCACTTGATCATGGTTAATTAACTTTTTGATGTGCTGCTGGATTCAGTTTGCTAGTATTTTCCTGAGCATTTTTGTGTCTATGTTTATCAGGGATACTGGCCTAAAGTTTTCTTTTTTCATTATGTCTCTGCCAGGTTTGGGTATGAGGACTGGATTTTTTTTTCTTTAAGAATGCTAAAAATAGGTCCCCAATTTATTTTGGCTTGTAGGATTTCTGCTAACCGGGATGCTTCTAGCCTGACGGGGTTCCCTTTGTAGGTGATCTGGAAAATATATCATTTTTTTCTAGCAATTATTGCTATTTTTTTCCTTTACACTCAATGACTATTCCCTGGAATGAAGCTTAGTCATTTAGTAACTCATAGACATTCAGCTAAATCTAAATCTCATCCTTTTGATCTGTGATCATTGGTGCAGACTGGTAGTGACATCTATAACTAGATAAAACAATCATTAACAAAAGCCAAAGTCCACTAAAACTTCACCTGAAGGAAAAATGGACTTTGTTTTATGCAAATTGCTACATAAACTTTTAAAATTTAACAAAGTGAGATAAGTAGTGCATTTATAAACTTGATATCCTCAGTAGTGAGACCATTTATTGAGTTGTCATTTACTGAATTCCACCTATGCCTGCTCCTGTATCAGCAACTTTATAAGCATTATCTTATTTAACCCTTAAAACTATGCTACATAGTATGATTCTCATCTTATAGGTGACACTAGATCAAAAGTTCTCATAACTTTGCTCAAACCTGTAGTGTGGAACAGAGCTTGGAAAGGAACCCCGATTTTTCCCAGACTATAATCTGTCCACCATCACATCTTGCCTTCTTAATACTAAATATTTAGTTCTATCTTACAAAGTCACCAGTTGATTTTTAGCCCCTCCTCCCCCATTAGTTGTATTTCATGCAAGACTTACAAGTTTAGTTAGTTACTTGAAGCCTCTAACCTTTAATCAAGATATAAGATCTCTCTTGGGGAAAAACATATATATGGCTTAATAGTGGATGAGCAGACACAGCCACACTTCCTAAAAATCATATCATTACTTTTGAGAAGGATCATTATGAGTTGATCCTTATGAAGAAATTACATGGAAGTGCCTAAATTTAACACATAGAGATAAAAATCAAACAAAACTGTTTCTATTTTTAAGTATTATGAGGTCTACTTGCTCTTCTTTTTCATTTGTTTTCTGTTGCATTAGTCTGTTCTCACACTGCTAATAAAGACCTACCAGAAACTGGGTAATTTATAAAAGAAAGATGTTTAATTGACTCACAGTTCCACACGGCTCAGGAGGCATCACAATCATGGCAGAAGGCAAAGGAAGAGCAAAGTCATATCTTACATGGCGGAAGGCAAAAGAGCTTGTGCAGGCGAACTCCCATTTATAAAACCATCAGATCTCATGAGACTTATTCACTACCACAAGACCAGTATGGGGAAAACTACCCCCAAGATTCAATTATCTTCATCTAGCCCTGCCCTTGACACATGGGGATTACTATAATTCAATGTGAGATATGGTGGGGACACAGCCAAACCACATCATTCCACTCTGGCCCCTCCCAAATCTCATGTCCTTATGTTTCAAAACCAATCATACTTTCCCAACAGTTTCCCAAAGTCTTAACTCATCTCAGCATTAACTCAAAAGTCCACAGTCCAAAGTTTCATCTGAGACAAGGCAAGTCCCTTCCACCTAAGAGCCTGTAAAATCAAAACAAGTTAGTTACTTTCTAGATACAATGGGGTACAGGCATTGGGTAAATACAGTCACTCCAATGGGAGAAATTGACCAAAACAAAGGGGCTACAGGCCCCATGCAAGTCTGAAATCCAGTGGGCAGTCAAATCTTAAAGCTCTGAAATGATCTTCTCTTACTGCGTGTCTCACATCTAGGTCACACTGATGCAAGAGGTGGGTTCCCATGGTCTTGAGACGCTCCTCCTCTGTGGCTTTGCAGGATACAGCCTCCATCCTGGCTGCTTTCACAGGCTGGCATTGAGTGTCTGTGGCTTTTCCAGGCACACAATGCAAGCTGTCAGTGGATCTACTATTCTGGGGTCTGGAGGATGGTGGCCCTCTTCTCACAGCTCCACTAGGCAATGTCCCAGTGGGGACTCTGTGTGAGGGCTCCAACCCCACATTTCTTTCCACACTGTGCTAGAAGAGGTTCTCCATGAGGGCCCTGTCCGTGCAGCAAACTTCTACTTGGACATCCCTGCGTTTCCATACATCCTCTGAAATCTAGGCAGATTTCCCAAACCTCAATTTTTGACTTCTGTGTACCTGCAGACTCAACATCATGTGGAAACTGCCAAGGCTTGGGGCTCACACCCTCTCAAGTCATGGCCTGAGCTGTACCTTGGCCCCTTTTAACCACAGCTGGAGTGGCTGGGATGCAGGACACAATGTCCTTAGGCTGCACAGAGCAGGGGTGCCCTGGGACAGGCCCATGAACCCAATTTTTCCTCCTACACCTCTGAGTCTGTGATGGGAGGGACTGCTGTGAAGACCTCTGACATGCCCTGGAGACATTTTCTCCATTGTCTTGGTGGTTCACACTTGGCTCCTCATTACTTATGCAAATTTCTGCAGTCAGCTTGAATTTCTCCTCAGAAAATGGGGTTTTCTTTTCTATCACATTGTCAGGCTGCAAGTTTTCCAAACTTTTATGCTCTGCTTCTCTTTTAAACCTAAGTTCTAATTCCAAACCATATTATTGTGAAACATACAATTGAATGCTTTTAACAGCACCCAAGTCACCTATTGAATGCTTTGCTGCTTAGAAATTTCTTTCACCAGATGCTTTAAATCATCTCTCTCAAGTTCAAAGTTCCACAGATCTCTAGAACTGGGGCAACATGCCACCAGTCTCTTTGTTATAGCATAACAAGGGTCACCTTCGCTCCAATTTCCAGCAAGTTCCTCATCTCCAACTGAGAACACCTCTATCTGAACTTCATTGTCCATATCACTGTCAGCATTTGGGATTTTGGTCAATACCATTCGACAAGTCTCTGGGAAGTTCCAAACTTTCTTTCTTTCTTTCTTTTTTGAGATGGAGTCTTGTTCTGTCACCGAGGCTGGAGTGCAATGGTATGACCTCGGCTCACTGCAACCTCCAACCTCTGCCTCACAGGTTCAAGCAATTCTTCTGCCTCAGCCACCCAAGTAGCTGGGATTACAGGCACCCACCACCATACCTGACTAATTTTTATATTTTTAGTAGAGATGGGGTTTCACCATGTTGGCCAGACTGGTCTCAAACTCCTGACCTCAGGTGATCCGCCCACCTCGGCTTCCCAAAGTGCTGGGATTACAGGTGTGAGCCACTGTGCCTGGCCAGAAGTTCCAAACTTTCTCACATTTTTCTGTCTTTCTCTGAGCCCTCCAAACTGTTCCACCCTCTGCCTGTTACCCAGTTCCAAAGTCACTTTTGCATTTTCGGATATCTTTACAGAAGCACCGTACTCTACCAGCACCAATTTACTGTATTAGTTCGTTCTCATGCTGCTAACAAAGACACACCAGAGACTATGTAATTTGTAAAGGAAAGGGATTTAATTGATTCAGTTTCACATGGCTAGAGAGGCCTCACAATCATGGTGGAAGGCAGAGGAAGAGCAAAGTCACATCTTACATGGTGGCAGGTGAGAGAGGTTGTGCAGGGGAACTCCCATTATAAAACTATCAAATTCCATGAAATTTATTCACTGCCACAAGTACAGTATGGAGAAACTGCCGCCATGATTCAATTATCTCCACCTGGCCCCACCCTTGACATATGGGGGTTATTACAATTCAAGGTGAGATTTGGGTGGGGACACAGCCAAATCATATGATTTGGTTGTGTGTGTGTGTGTGTGTGTGTCTGTGTGTATGTGTATGTATGTGTTTGAGGTTGCTTTAATCCCATGGGCATTTGGGGGCTTTTCTTTCTTTGGTGACTAAAAGTAAGTACATCAATAAGTCAGGTTTACTGGCAGAAATCAGGGCATCCAAGCATATCAGCGGCAGTGTGTGGGTTTTCCTCCACCTGGATAGGAATGCTTGTGCATGTGGGAGGGTGCTTTTCCACAAGATGTCATAGGACGGTCCCTTCTTGATCTCAAGCATTTCTCCAGTGGAGACTTTGCCAGAGAGTGGGTGCTGGAGTATCAGAACATTCTGGAAACTTCTGTGATAAGAAACAAAGTACCAATAACTGGCCTAAAAGTTAGCCTGAGGCAATTGCAGGAAGTCAGCCAAATTTATTCCCTGAATTTATTCCAGTGTCTGATACATCTCCCTTCAAGAGAGAGTGACCATATGTCTTGGTTTTTGCTTAGGACAGTCTCAGTTTATGTCTCTGCTCAGTATTATAGCACGATTTTTTTCACTCTCAAAGTGTTAGGATGATGAATCATAAAAAATTACATCCTACCACCATTTATAGATGACCCTCCTATCATTGCAGCTCCACACTCCTACTAGAGTGTAGATATCTTGGGCATATACACCACATTCCATTTACCTTTGCACACTTCCTCAGCATAAGCTTTTAATCTTTTACATAGCTTCCACTCAATGAATGCTTGCTCTAGTAAATCAGCATCAACATTAATGTGGCCATAGTTAAAAAAAAAAAAAAAAAGAAAAGAACTCAACTGTTACTAGTAGTATGTATGGATAAACTATTGTGTGGTAGACACTATGCTGAGCACTGATTTATGTAATCTTGGTACTCATAACTACTGGGTAAGGTAATCTATTTTACAAAAGATAAAGCTCAGAGACACTAAGTAATCAGCCTACATTTTATACTTAATAAGTAATAGAGCAGAAATGAAATTTACTTGCATTTGATGTCCAAGCCCAAAATTCTGTTATTCTTCCTGCCTTGCCCTGACTACATATGCCAAGTATCCTTATAGAATGCATTTACAGTTTATAATACATCATAGTACGAAAGCCTCAAAACATCCCCTCAAGGTAAGTAATATCTTTATTTTAAGGTAAGGATTATGATGCTCAAAGGGTTTGTTTGCTTGTTTGTTTTGCTCAAGGTCAAAGGATACTTTTGCTCAAGTTTATAGACTAGTAGTAGAATTGGATTCACACTCAGTTTCTTTCACTTCAAATTCCACATTCTTTTGACCTGATATTAAAAAAAATACTCAAAGTAGGGAAAGAGATCACCCAGTGATATCCTTGGCCTCCTAATATTAGTTATGCCCTCCTCGTCCTATCGTCCTATTTTCCTTTCTCAGGAAAGGATAGCTTTCGGAGGAAAGCTCAAAATACAGAGCTTTTTAATTTATACTGATGATCAATTCTTAAAAATAAAATAGTGCATGTATTTGGTTCACAATATATTTTCTTCAGATTGTTATCAAAAGTAATTATGATTAAAAATCTCATAGTATTTCTCTCCTAATAAAAAATTTTTTCTAGTAAACCATGTTTTTCTCAATAGAAAAACCACAGGTATCCTAAACATCTCACAGACTTCAAGCAAAGTCTAATAATTTGAAAACATACTTAGCAGAGGCAAGAAGTGGGATCCTGAACTTGGAATGTAGTAGATAAACATAATCTCACCCATATAGGCAGTTTTACAAATAGTTATATTTAAAAATAAGTAGAAACCAGCTTCTCCAACCTGTGTTTGTCTCATGGAGGTACTGGTATTGTACACTTCCCCATTAATCTTTCTTTCTAATCCTCTAGAATTTTAAAATATACACAACCAGAACATTTGCAAATGTGCTTTCTTTACAGATTCTCCAGGTTCTGGTTTGTGATTTTCCATTACACCGTTGCTCCATAGGTGGACTACAATAATGCTGACTTGGGAAAGCTTGAAACATTTGCAAAGTGGGACATATTCTTGTTTCCACAGTGTAAAAATAACTTGAAGTTAAACTTAGAAGATACAATGGCTGTAAATACCTACCAATCTTGTCCAGCTCACCTTATTTTGTTGTTATTGTTCTGTTTTGTTTTGTTTTGTTTTAGACTTTTAAGAGGCTGAAGCCATGGTTTTTAATTTCTGTCTCTAGTGATAAGCGGAAAAGAAGGATGAGGAAGGGGCTTTGCTGGCCCAACCAGAAACAGAAGCTAAGAACCCATGACTGTATTCTCTCTTTTAGACACCCCTGCATCACAAAACAAAGATGAATAAAGATTTTTTTTCACACATTTGTAAGAACATTTGTAAGAATATTTCCAACCTAAGGTGCAAGTAGCTCATGTGAAAAGATAGAAAGAAATGATATAACAATGCACAAAACAAGGGACTACATCAGTGCAATGAAATAGAGAGGATTTCCATAATTTAGACATTACACAGAATTTCTAGATATAGAATAGAGCAAATATCAAGGGAACTCCAAATCAGAAATTTGGCTTTTGTCCTCCTGGGTCAGGAAGTATTATAGGTGATAATATAGTAGCTTCTGTTTTACTTTCCTAGACTCTGTTCTTTCCAGTATAGTATTGGAAGTTGCAGATGTTGAAATGTGATAGATGTAATAACAATAGCATTTTTGAAATTCCTGTGATATGCTTCCTGTAGTTGACACATATCTTTAATTCTCACAACAGACCAGTTAAAAGGGTCCCATTTCCATTTTAAAGATGAGTATGCTAAGTACCAAAGAAAGGAAGTAACTTGTTCAGGGTGATAAAGTTGGCAAATAGCCGAGCAAAACTTTGAGTCTGGCTTTATCTGATTCATATGCCTTCAGTCTTCATTCTTAATAAGAGCTTCCACTTAATGAGCACCTAAGTACATATCAGTCAGTTGACATTTATTATTTCATTTAAGTTCGTAAAATGTATCCCCAAACCATAAGCAGGGCCACCAAGAGCAACCTTCATTTTAAAAAAGAGCTATACATAAAATAAAATAAATCCAAGCCACCCAGAAAGGGAGTAAAAACTTTACATAGGATTTGTATAAGTATGCCTATAGTCAGAAAGGCAGGTTGGAAAGTTGTGCTAAATTTTTCTGGCAGCTTTCCCCCTACCATACCTTGTCTATGGATTAGGTATAATCCTGAGTTCCACGATAAAGAAACTTCAACTCAAAGAGTTAAAGCCACTTTCCCCAAAGTTGTTAAATGGCTGAGCTGAAACTTGAATTCAGACTTGACTGATTTTAATGTGAGGAAAAGCATTCCTCATTAATTGAAGTAATTTCTAAATAGGCACCTGAAAAGCTGACTTCTAATGGGAATTCTATTTATGAGTAATTTTCCATGTATCATGACCCAAACCAAAACCTTCCAGGGTCTGGCAACTTAGTGAAGAAATCAAGGCTTTTCAGAATTTTCAGATACATGAACACACACAAACAACACTAAGAGACTGAGCACTTGAAGAAGAGGAGTGACCTGAGGCTGGACCTTCATTATTATCACCTTAGTCACTTATAAAGGAGGATAGCAATGTCTTTGATTTGCCACTAAACACTTGAGAACATAATTACTCATATCATGGTAGTATCAAAAGAAAGTCTTGCAAAAATGTGTTGAACAGTAGTAACTATAACATATAGTTTTTTAGCAGTGACTCAATTGGGTGATAATGTGCATCATATAAATGGGATACATTTATTTGTGTATTCCCAGTGATGGCAAATATTCACTGGTTTTCAGTTTAGAAAATATGCAAAAGTCATTTATTCAGAGTGATGCCTAGTGATGGGCCAAGGTGGCATAAAGAACACTGGAATTGCCAAGAAAAGGAAGACTGAAGAGTTCCATTGATAACTGATAGAATTGCCTCTGAGCTTGTGTGAAGTGTATTTCCAAAGAATTTGAGTAATAAAAATCACTCAATATTAAATCTTGTTTGAATTTAATTGAAGTTATATTTGTTTATAAAGTATTTAAGAATTTCTTCCTTTTTTGAGGCCTATTCAAACATCCTGTTTAAGTACCTACAAGCCTGAACCAAATAAGACACTTCCCCTTCATGCTTATTTAGCAAAATTGAGCCCTTGTTGATCATGCTGGTTTCCCCTTTGCCATTCTACAAAGGCGTGGACGATTGGGATCCATGAGACAATTAGCCAAGGACCTTGAACTTCATGCTCAGTTGCCCTCCCAACTGAATATTCTGCTTAAATGTTCTACTTGTTTACTGTGGAACAGTGCTGGCATTAGTCTGTTTTAATATTAAATAATATTCTCTGCTGACCTTTCTGAGTGGACTCTGAAATTTGCCTCTCAAAAGTTTGAGTCAACATCTCTTTTCACATTTGTTAAGTGTCTGTAGAATGTGTGAATAAATGTTTAGCCACAGTCACATTTAGTTACAATGAATTATAGGAATCGGATAGGATGGAATATAAATTCAGTTTTTATTTTCATGGAAACATGTTTGTGAACAGATAAATATTTCAACCTAAATAAAATCTTGAAAAAATGTCTTGTTTTTTTTTTCAATAAAAGAGGAATTAAACATAAACTGTGAACATGGAAGAGACTCCTAGCATTCATGTAATTTAGTTTAATTTATTGAGTGTCTACTATGGGATAGGAACTTCTAGATACTAAGAGTACATTGGAGAGTAAATAGATAAAGTCCTTTAGGGGCTTACATTCCAGTACAGGGATGCTAGCATTTAAAATATATAGTATATTAATAGAGGATACATTTCTTGGATAAGCTGTGAAGAGAGATTTTGAGTGTTAGGGTCTGCAATTTAAATAGGTTGATCAAGGAAGGTGACATTTGAGAGGCTTGAAAAGGTAATTTAATTACTTACGTTGATTTAATTATCTTGCTATTAATCTGATATATTTTCATTTTTACAAATGTGGCCACTAAGAATCAGAGAAATTAAGTGATATGTCCAAAATAACAAGATACCTTAGTAAGAGACTGTAAAAAGAGACTTGGTCTTTTGTTATGGCTAAAGAATGTTTTCCACTTAACACAAATAGCCTTGGAGGGCAAACATTTTTCTAATAAGGGTATTTGAATAAAACTGGAGTGTCAAATCCTCAACTCAAATTCTTCAACCTTTCAGCATTCTCACATTACCCTTCCCTTTGAGAGAGAGAGAGAGAGAGAGACAGAGAGGAAGGAAGGAAGGAAGGAAGAAGGGAGGGAGGGAGGGAGGAAGAAAGAGGAAAGAAAGAAAGAAAGAGAGAAAGAAAGAAAGAAAGGAAGAAAGAAAGAAAGAGAAAGAAAGAGAGAGAGAAAGAAAGAAGAAAAGAAAAGAAAAGAAAAGAAGAAGAGAAAAAAGAAAAATAAAAGTAAGCTCAACCTTCGGACTTTGATAGAATCAAATACCAAGTGGTCTTTTCCTCTTCAACCTCAAGACCATAAAGATCCCAGGAGATCTTTCTCGTTTTCTGCTTCTGCTGTATTCTCTATGTCCTTTGTGAGTTTTACTTCCATCTCTACCACCATTTTGAGCCTAAAGTGGAACACAAACTTCTTTCCCTTTAATTTAATGAGAAAATAACAATACAATGTCAATGATGTAGCAAGTTTTCCCTAAAGGTTGAGAGTAAAGAAGGAATTTATCCCCCAGCACAGCACAACAAAAAGTAATACTTAATATGAGTTATTCCCGTTATTAAAATCTCATCAGCTCTTCCTTACACTATGATATTTTTTGAGAAATGTCCGTGCCACCAGCCAGATTTTTGTGCCACTTCTTTGTCTTCACTCCTACGACATCTCCAATATCATTCCCATGGACTAAAAAGAAAAAAAAAATTAAAGGTCTGTTTATTTGCAAGCAGAGTTCTTTTATCTTCCCCACCTGCTCATCAGATTGACTCTTTCTATATTCATAAAGATACCAGCCAATCAAGAAGCTTCTGTTGTGGGCCATATATTTTATAGCCTACAGGAAGAGGAGGACTTCTGGATTTGTAGTCTTTTCTCTTTTATGATAAAATTATTGGACATGGCAGTTGCTATTTCTATGAAAAGCAAGCAAGCAAACAAACAAACAAACAAAAATTCGTGGACATGGTTTTTTCCCTATCAATCTCTGTAAGCAGAAGTAAGCATTATATTGAATTATCCTCTTCAGGATAGGAATTACTCAATTCCTCCTGGAAGGTGGCAATGGCCACAGTTGCTTTGCAGTTTGTTTTTTTAAGCCATAATTTCTGTTAAAGTGTAGTTTGGCATCACCAATTTGCCTCCCAGGAATTTGTTTGACAGGCATGCTCATTGAGAGAAAGCCCTATGGGGAGGACTACTTTCACTATTTCAATTAAGCAGCTTATTCACATTGTGAGCAATTCTTTGAGCCATCCTTGATATTCATTGAACTGAAATATGTAAAAATTATTATAACAGATTAATTTTTCTGAAATGTAGTTTTAATCTTGCCACTTTCTAGTTTAAAATAATAACAGGGCCAGACGTGGTGGCTCACACCTGTAATTCCAGCACTTTGGGAGGCCAAGGTGGGCAGATCACCAGGTCAGGAGATCAAGACCATCCTGGCTAACATGCTGAAACCCCGTCTCTACTAAAAACACAAAAAATTAGCCAGGTGTGGTGGCAGGCGCCTGTAGTTCCAGCTACTTGGGAGGCTGAGGCAGGAGAATGGCGTGAACCTGGGAGGTGGAGGGGGCAATGAGCTGAGATTGTGCCACTGCACTCCAGCCTGGGCAACAGAGTGAGACTCCGTCTCAAAAAAATAAAAAATAAAATAAAAACAGAACAAAATAATGGCCATTTTATTCTTCTACACCACTCCTACTCCCATTGGCTTTGAGAGCAGATGAAGGAAGACAGCAATTTAATGAAAGTCTAGTCTCAAATGGCCAAGACTTGTTCGTGCATTTTCTTCTCTTTCATCCTAGGCCAAAATAACCATGGTGTGCAGAGTTCACTCTTAGCAACATTGAAACAATGGTGTTTTTTGTTGCATTTTGTTTTGTTTTTAATGCCCCATTTTTCCAGTTCTTTACCTTTTTCTCCTTTGGTAGCATTTAATGTCATTAAACTCTTTCTTTCCCATTACAACTTGCTGCATGCAAATTGCTGAACTATTTTACATTGCAGAGACTACTAATGTTAGCAATTACAAATTTAACTTCTTAAGCATGTGGGTGATTGAATAGCAGGACCTTGTTAAGGCCATGTAAAAGTAACAGGTGATGGTGTTTATATTCTGTCAGGATCTCAAGCCTTACACGAAATGAGTGAAATACAAAAGGCAATGTTTGGTGCACATGAGAGAGGGTAGAGGCACTACAGGGATTTCTTCAGGTCAAAGAAGCATATTTTCCCCCCGTCTTCTCTGTATATTAGCATTTCTGATATAGCAATGTGCCTTCTAATTGATGAGGTCATTGAATATACTGGGTTGTTTTTTTTTTCACCTGAAAAGTTACGAATAATTGCTGCTGTGCTTTACAATCTGCATGAACTTTTCATGGAGTGAGTCTTTATGGAATTAAGAAGAGAGTTTGAGGACAATGAATGCTACCAAAGGGAGAAAAGGGTAAATATGTAGAAAATAACTGAAAATTAAATTACTGAATAGATGCTGTGCCTTATAATCAACAAAATGTTGAAAGCAAGGAATAAAGAGGCATAAAGATCCCTTCACATCCCAGGTATTAGCCACTCCACTCCCTACTGCTTCAAAATTCAGGACTAATTGGAATCATGTAGATAGTACTGTACTACACAAAGTTTAATTAAAACCAGCAGTGCTCACTAACTCTTTAGTTATAGGTTTCTAATATATACCTTTAGAACCTTATTGATGATAATATTTTGGGCCATTATTAACCTGACCTATACAAGGGGGTTACATGTCCTATTGATTGAATATTAACAATTAGATAGCTTAAACATGAAGCTATAAAGTAGTCAAGTCTCTGAAAGCTAAATAAAGTTCCGATTTTCTGCTGAGATCACTACAACAAAAACCTCATATATAATTGGAATACCTCATGATACAAATAATTAAAAGCACAGGTTAAGGTAAATATATGAAAGACCAAGCTTTTCATTAGCATTTATCGTATCAACTCTACAAATATAGCAGAGGAATTTAAACAGAGGACACAGATAGCTTTTGGGAGAGTCTTCATATTTTTATTGGTAACTAAAAGTATATTTAAGCCATCTGATTAGCCCTTTTTGGGGTCTAATTCAAATTCATGAAGCAAAGATTTATTCAGTTATCCAGATGCAAAAAGCAAAATAAAAACAAAAAAAAATTTGTTTTTATTGTTGACTGGAAATGTTTCTGTCTTTGGACATAACGGATAATTTTAGTTTTCTTCTTTTTAAAAATTATTTTTTATTTTCTACAATGGCTATAATTTATTGGGTATATGTACTAGACTTTGCTTCTGTCTTCAAGGAAATGGTCATTTGCAACAGCTGACAGACTCCTACAGCCAGTTACATAGAGATTCCCTAAAATAGGCAAGATGATGGCAGACTACAAACTGAGTACTAAGGGAGGCTACGTTCTATAGGAGTTGACGTGGAGAGGCAGCAAAAGCTTCATAGAGTAGAGAAAACTCGTGCTGGATCTTGTAGAATAGACAGGCTTTGTAGAGGTGGAGATGGAGAAGGCCACTGAAGAAGGAGGAGAAGCAAGAACAAAATTAGAAATTGCACTGGAGGTACTTTGGAACAATTGATGGAGTTTAAAGAGAGCAGAAACAGGAATTTACAACTGGGTTGTTACCTTCCTTCTCTCATTTGTCCTGGTCCTAATTCTAACTTAGCCTGTGGGTACAGTTATTGTAACCCGGTAAAAATAAGAGAAAGACAAGATAAAGTTGAAGGCTATACATAATTTGTTAATTAATGGCAAATCAATTTTTCTGAGTCCTAGTGGAAAGAAAGAAAAACTATGATGTTCAAGAGTTCTCTGCTGTAAGCACAGATAGCAGCCAATGAGGTAGATATTATTACCTTTCATTTTACGATCAGGACGAAGAGAGTCAGGAAGTTTAAGACTGAAAAACCTTGCAAGGTCTTACTATCCCTGTGTTCCAGGTGAAGTTCAGAAATGTTAAATGACTTATGAAATGTATCACGGCTTTCTCGTGGTTGAGCCAGGACTCGAGCAAAGGTCTCTGGATTCCTAGTCCTTTGCTCCTTTCCCTCCACAGCCACTGCGTCAGACAATTGCAGGCACACAGCCTTCACTTTCCCTTCCTCAGGAGGAAGACACTGCTGAGGATTGTGTTTGCATTTTACAGATTCCATCTCACGAATTAAAAATGCTGAGGTGGTCAACTGTTATCAATTCTATGTTTCCCAGTAATGTTTAACCTTAAGTTAGAAAAAAAAAATCTAAGAGATAAAACAGCATGTTATCTGGCCAGTCCATTCCACCCCCAGTGGTTATAATTTCAGAACACTTCTGAATTCCTTCTCCGTGGCTATGCTTTAGGAGAGGAGCAGACAGCTCTTTGCCAGGGTCAGATTTCAGATTCTCATCTATTGGTGGCAATACCACCACCAGATTCTTCTTTGAAGTCAACTTTTGAGATCTTCCTTAAGTACACCTTGGTGTCTGAAGATTCGCACAAGTGCCTCTGGTAATCATTTTCTTCAGGGAATCACAGCCTCTCCTCTCAGCAAAGCATCCACTGTACTGAACTTTGCTTTTGAAAACGTCTTCTTCCTGATACCTCATTGAAAGAAGCTCTCTGGTGTCATACTTTCCAGTATGGAGGCGAAGAACTTTGCAATTTGGGATTATGTTGTATTTGCAGCCCTCTTTTTGGTTTCCTCTGGAATTGGGGTGTTCTTTGCCATTAAGGAGAGGAAAAAGGCAACTTCCCGAGAGTTCCTGGTTGGGGGAAGGCAAATGAGCTTTGGCCCTGTCGCCTTGTCTCTGACAGCCAGCTTCATGTCAGCTGTCACGGTCCTGGGGACCCCTTCTGAAGTCTACCGCTTTGGGGCATCCTTCATAATCTTCTTCATTGCTTACCTATTTGTCATCATCTTAACATCAGAGCTCTTTCTCCCTGTGTTCTACAGATCTGGTATCACCAGCACTTATGAGGTAAGATGATTTCTCCATTCTTCTCTGTTTTGTTTTGTTTTTTCTCATCCTCTTGATGGTAGCACCTGGTAGTTGAAGAACACTCACTGATTTTCAGGACAATTACACATTATGAGAAAGACATTAAAAGGGTTTTTTTTAAAAAGCCTAAGCTTTGGAGAGAGACATATCTATTTTCCCATCTATAGAAAGAAAATAATGATGACAATCCCACAGGGCTATTTTAATGATTAAATGAGAACCTCTATGTAAGCACTTAATGTATGGTCTCATTTGTAGGAGGCTTGCAATAAAGAGGGCTGACGTTATTTTTTATTATTATGAACATCATCATTCTGAAAAGCAAACAGAACATCTATCATGAATATGGCAATTTTCCAGCTAAGAAAATTGAGATACAGATAAATGACCTAGTTAAGATTTTTGAATAGTAAAGTGACCTGAGAACCTAATTTTTTCTGTATCTCTACTTAGTGGCCTTTCTATCAGAGAGTAGAGGGCATTTTAATACAAATTATAATAAGACTCTAATTTTTAATGAGGGAATGGAAATATTTTTGAAAAATACAAAACATATTTTAACAGGAAGGAACTGCTAAATAATACAAATATGGGAATTATTTAATGAGAGGGAAATGAGATAGTGCTGTTTTGGCTTTACAATGATTCTCAATGAAGACATCATGTTCAAAATTGAATTTGCATGCTCAATATAGAAGTGTGATAAAAAATAAGTTTCTATTAATAAGGTGTTTATTTTCATTATCCGGCATCATTCCTACTAAGTCACTGCAGAAGACTCAAAAGAGACCTATTTTTTTTTTTTTAAATCTGTATGCTAAATGACTATGAAACATTATTCTAGCCTTCAAAAGCCACTCAAGCAAATGAACACTTTTTAGGAACTCTTAAAAAATATTATTGATTCCACAGTTTTACGGAATGTAATTTTTATGACTATACTCAGTAAATATTCATTAAGCATCTACTCTTAAGATACTTAAAAAGGCACTCTTCTTTTTTTCCATTTATTTATTTATTTATTTATTTATTTATTTATTTATGAGATGGGGCTTTTGCTATGTTGCCCGGGCTGTTCTCAAACTCCTGGGCTCAAGTGATTCTCCTGAATCAACCTCCCAAGTGTCTGGGACTACAGGAGTTTGCCACCACGCCCAGCTTGTTCTAGGCATTGTCGTAGCCCTAGGCATAAAGCATTGCACCAAGTTCCTGCTCTCATGGAGCTTACTTCATAGCAGAGAAGGGCAGTCAATAAACATACTGTGTAAGAAAATTATAATACAAATGTATATGGTATTTAACTAGGTGTTAAGTACTTCTGTAAGTTCCTTATGTGTGTTAAGTCATTTGGCCTTAAAACAATCTTTTTTAGATAGGTACTGTCACCTCCTTTTAACAGACTAGAAAACTGAGGCATATAGAATTAAGTAACTTGCTAAGTGACATAAAGCTAGCAAGTAACAGTTTTTCAAACCAGGCAGTCTACCTTTATATATCATATGCTAAATAACTATGCTATCCCGTCCTACAAAAAAAAAAAAAAAATGGAGAAAAAGTAAAGTAAATAGGATGAGATAGAGAGGAGGAATGCTGGTATGAGTGGAGAATGTCCATATTCATATATTCATAGACAGTGATCATATGAAACCTCAAGAAAAAAAGGACATCTAAATGGAGACTGGAAGAAAGCAAATAATTGCACCAGACAAGGGAAGTACATCTCAGGCTGAAGGAGTCACAGATGCAAAGGCCCTAGAAAAGGAATGTGACTGACATGTTGAAGGACAGCATAGAAATCAGTGTGCTTGGAGAAGACAGAACAAAGGGGACAATGGTAAAAGATAAGATCAAAGAGTTGGGAGTGCCGAGTTACATACAGCAGGGGTCTCAGTGGGGCTGGTGCCACACAGTGGGAGTAATTGGGATATTTGTAGGCTATTTGGTTGTCACAATGATTAGGGGTCACCACCAATGTTTAGGGAGTTGAGGGCAGAGACATCAGATGTCTTTCAGTGTGTAAAGACACACATACAATGAGTAATTTCACTCTGCACTGCATGATATTTTAAGGCTGTAATGCTCAAAAACTACTGCACATAATAATATTACCTTAGTACATAGTAACTTTACAATAAAAAGTTATACACACACAATAAATGAGTACATTTTCCAGAAATTAAATGAAATTAAAACATTATCTTAAAATTATTGAACAATTTACTTACTTTGAGCAATCTGTCTATTCCATACATGCTGCTCAATTCATGGTTTTAGTAAAATGACTCAGTTACTGTAAAAACAACTAAACCAATTGCAATTATGTAACTGAGGAGATTTGATTCTCTTTTTAAATCAATAAATTAGTACAAGTATTGAAAATATAAGGACTTGATTGAATTTAATTTACTAAATTGTTTTCAAAATATTTGCTATTTTTGCCTCTACATGTTTTTAACTTTTTAGTGACCTAATTAGTAAGTAATCCAGAGTGTGTAAAGTAGACATAAGGTTATTTTGAGATTACCTCTTGTTTTATAAAAATTGGCATTATGGCATGCAAGTTAAAAGTATGGACTCTAGGTCAGGCGTGGTGGCTCACGTCTGTAATCCCAGTACTTTGGGAGGCCGAGTTGGGGGATCACCTGAGGTCAGGAGTTCGAGACTAGCCTAGCCAACATGGCAAAGCCCCATCTCTACTAAAAAAAAAAAAAAAAAAAAAAAAAAAAAAAAAACACCCACAAAATTAGTCAGGCATGTTTGCATGCCTAATCCCAGCTACTCGAGAGGCTGAGGCATGAGAATCACTTGAACCTGGGAGGTTGCAGTGAACTGCCGAGATCCACTGCACTCCAACCTGGGCAACAGAGTGAGACTCTGTCTTTAAAAAAAAATAAAAAAGAGTATGGACCTACACTCTGTTGACTTGACTTTCAATGTTAGCTCTGCTACTTGCTAGCTGCATGACTTTGGCGTAAACTACTTAACTTTTGTATACCTGGTTTTCACATGTGTAAAATAGTGGTAATAAAAACATCTATCTCAAAGGATGTCTGTGAGGAGTAAATGATGTATTGTAAACAAATACGTTTAACAGAGCCTGGCAAATAGTAAATACTATGTAAGAGTGTTGCATTATTATGATTATTGTTGTTGTTGCTATCTTCAAATTTATACCGCTTAGTCTGTCTGTAGTATCTTAAGTTTCTGTTTCTTTCTGCAGCCTCCATTCTCTAGTAGTTACTGAAAGATACGCTTTCTAGGGTCTTTTTAAATGCCAAAGATTGAAAGAGGTGGAATCTCTTTATCCACCCTGTGAACTTTGGCCAGTTTTGAGACTTGCTTTGACCACTAGAATGTAGCCAAAGTGATGTTCTGTGAGCTTGGAGCCTGGGCCTTATGAGCCTTGTAGCTTCTGCTTTTGTCGTCTTGGGATGCTGCCCTGATACTGCTGTCTAAGGAAGCTAGCATAGCTGATCTAGCTTCAGGAGTAGCAGTGGACACATAGAGAACAGAGATACCCAGCCAACAGCCAATACATGTTACCAGACCTGTGAGTGAGGCCATCTCAGACCTCTCTCCATTGATCTTCCAAGTTACTGAAGCTACATGAGAGTCCTGATGAAACCAGAGAGATCACCCAGTCTGTCCTCAGAGTTACGAGAAATAATAAGTTTTTGGTTTTTGAGCCTATGAGTTTGGGGGTAGGTGTTATATAGCAATAGCCAACTGATTTAAATGCCTTGATATGCAGTGGGATTTCAAGACTAAGATATGCCATCTGCGCTACTTTATCACTATCCTGTCACAAGTCAAAGCATAGGGAATTCTTCTCACCCTCAAGTGATAATTTAGGCTTATCTAGTTTGCAATATCATATATTTTCATTATGTCAATTGTACAGTTTATTATTAGTCTCATAATATTATCTTCACTTTAAAGTTATTTCCTTCCTTCTCTTATCATACACTAATAAATCCAGTTTGTTATTATTTACCTAATTTAATATTGGCTTATAGGCCAATGCCTACCTGTTCTCTCATTTTTTCTTGGACTTCTTGGCTTCTGAACTACTTACTTCTCTTCAATTTCAAATTTTCTTTATGATAATGCCCAGGCTACTACTTCACTGTGTTTTCTTGTACAGTGGTTTCTGAGCATTTATACATTACACACTTTTTTAAAGTAAATGCTTTCCTTTTAGTTCTTTAAATAACAGTGGCGGCATTTTAGTAATTATATTTATATTTTGAGAAATTCAATGTTTATCTATAAGATATTATTGAATACTATTTCAGCAGAGTAAATGGTGCTATATAATATTTGTTGTAAAAGAGATATTTAGGGTCTGAACCAACATCATGGGGCCTCTTAGGTCATCATAGGGATTAGCTTTTACTTTAGAAATGATGGGTTATTACAGTGTTTGGGAAGAGAAGTGACATGATGGGATTTGTATGTTAAGAGGATTACTCTAACTAGATATTAAGAATAATTATAGGGTTTTTACTGCTGAATCGGGGAGGTAATTGGGAGTGTACTTACATAATCTGAGCAAGAGATGATAGTAATAGGGTGGTAAGAGAGGATGAATGCAAGTAAATTTGTTTTGTAAGTGGGGGGCAAGCACCCAGATTTCTTTTATGAATTGGATGTGGGGAGGGAGAGAGAGGAGTAAAGGCTGGTTCTATGTTATTTGGGCTCAAATCAACCTGAAAAGTAGAGTTGTATTTCCTGAGATGGAAAAGAGTATGGCTGGATCAAGTTTGGGGTTCTGAAAATAATCCATCATAATGTTGGTCAATGTCACCTCAGGTATTTTTATAAGCAAGCATGAAGCATGCAACTTCTCTGTTGCGTTTTTACTTTTGACAATAGGAATAGCTTATATATACACCAAAGTTGACAACTGAATGAAGTAGTGAATACATTGAAAGGAAAAGTGGATAAATTATTTCAGATATCGAAGTATGCAGTTGGAATAGTCTTTCTTCTTTCACAGATGAGAATCCTGAAGCATAGATCATAGAGTGAGATGCCAGCAAATATCAAACTGGAATTCAAGGAGCCTGATTTCTGATCAGGTCTTTGTTCATATAGCTTTTCCCCAGTACTGTCTTTGTAATTTTACTGGGTTGACTGAATTGAGTGGAACTTAACTGAGATGTGAAAACCATTTATTTTTTTCAAGATTCCTATAGCAATATCCTCATGGCTTTACTGTTTTTCAGGATTCATTGCCCCTTAGGTTTTCCAGAATTCCTCGTGCCACCCAGTACCAAAGCTAATGCTACAGGTTTTTGGTTTTAGTTACACCTCCCCACTTCTAGTGCCAATCTTTGTATTCATGGTTATCTATCGCTATGTAGTATACTACCCCAAAATAAATGTCTCAAAATAACAATTTTATCTTCTTACGATCCTGCAGATTAGCAATTTTGCCTGGCTCAGATGGGCCCCATAAAATTGTGCTGGTCTCACTTGGGACCATCTCTGTGACTTCCATAAGATAGCAAGTTGGCTAGCAGCTTGCTGGCCTAGGGGAATGCAAATGAGACAGCTTGTCCTTGTTACCTTTAGTCTCATCCTCTTGTAGGCTATCCTGAGTTCTTTATGTGATGGAAAAGAGTTCCTCTGAGAGAGAGAGCACACCTCATTACAGAAGCATTTTCAAAATGTTTACTTGCATTATATTTACTAGAAATGTCTCTGTCTTAAGTTGCATTCTACTAGAAGCAGATCCTGAAACAAGGATTTGAATGCAAGTTTATTTGGGGGAAGTGATTCTAGTAAGCGTTGATAGACAAGTGGCAACGTGAGACATAGAAGAAAAAGATGCCAATAAAAAATGTAATTTTGAGCAGGTTACCACTGTGAACAACTGGGGTTCAATCCAACTGGGGATCTCTAAGAGACAATATAAAGCATGTCTCAGGATTGTCCTCAGTGAAAGGCAAAAAGCCAGGGTATTTTGTTTCCAACTCCATTTAGTCATTGGCTGAGTACCAATGGTAACACCTGCAAGCCTTTCTGATCTGCCCTATGGCCTTGTGCAAAGGCTCAGAACACTCTCAAGCAGATAATCTCAGGCACATTTAGATGCCATCAACATGCACTGGAACAGTGAATGCCAATAAACTATGGGTGTTGCACCCTCCGTGACCACAGCAGTCATTAAATCCTACTATAGCTCTAGTTCTGTACTTGGCATTATCATACCTCCCACCATTTGATCCATACAACATCCAATTTTAGAAGATAAAATCATGGCTTAGTGGCAGAAAATAGTCTTCCCAAGGGCACAAGATTTGAACCTAAGTTGTCTTCACCACAAACATTTCGCAGTGTTTTCTATCTTACGATATTTGAGACCGCTGACTCCTCACTGACTTCCCTTCCTCTGTAATATTTTCCTTATGTCTGGTGCCCTCATTCACATATTCACTGGAGTATACATTCTGGTTCACAGAATGTATCATCTGAAGGGAGGGCCTGAAAATACGGCGGTTTTCTACCTCAGGTTTGGGAGAATCTGGCAGGATAAATTCAGAATGTGAGTTAGTATAAAATGGAATCACAGTTCTGCCAAATGTCCTTTGTTTCAAAGAAGGGCCCATTGTAAGTCATGAAACATTTATCTATTGTTTCTAGGGAAAGGATAACTCGGTTGTCAATCCTTGATTTAATCAAAGTGAATTCTTTAAATTCAGAAAAAAAGAACTACTATCAAGTAGAAACTACTAGCAAGAAATTTAATCCTCAAGCCAATTGATACTTTAAAACTTTATTTTGTTTTTTCAATACATGTTTATTATAAACTGAAAGACACGTATTAATGTCTTCTAGAATACTTACTGAGAAAAACCTTTCCTTACCTCCAAAACAGCAAATCAAATCCTACTGTTTAGTAAGTTCACAGCTACTTTTAGCTGTGAACATATCACAATTGAACATACCACAATTGCAACTTTACTTTTATTAGTATAAATATGTGTTAATAGTCACTTCATCTAATCTGTAAGATCCTCTATGGTATGGACTATATCATATTTACTTATCATTTTGTGTCAGAATGCAATATGTAAAGCAGGTAACAAATATTCATTGAATGAATGAATATGTAAATGAAAAAGATAAAAATGAATAAAAGAGAACAGTACTTGTATACATCAGGGATAGTAAATGTGGTAGGCTGAAAACAGCATACCTTCCCCAATATATATCCAGGTGTAATCCCTGAAAGCTGTGAATATTACTTAAATGTTTTTTTTGTTTCAAAGGGATTACTGCAAATGTGATTAAAGGATTTTGAGGTGAGAAAGTTGTCTTGGGTTATCCAGAGAGGCTATATATAAATACAATCACATATATCCTTATATGAGGGAGGTAGCGGGAAATTTGACAGGCAAAAGAAAAGGCAATATAACTATAAAGGCAGAAATTGGAGTGATGGTAACCAGAAGCTAAGGACTGCCAGCAGCCACTAACAGCAGGAAGGCAGGAAGCTGACTTTTCCTTAGAGCCTCGTGTAGGAGCCTCCTGCTCACACTTTGATTTTGACCCAGTGAAATTGATTTTTAACTTTTGGTTTTCAGTACCGAGAGGTAATAAATTTCTGTTGTTTCAAAACAACAAATTGGTGCCAATTAATTTATACAGTATTAATAATAAACTAATACAGTGAGATAATCAAGTTCAACACCAAAATACAAGATAGCAACTGATAACCACAAAAAAGTCTTAGTATTAGTGCCATATGAGCTCAGAGGATGAAGTATGATCAGGGCCAGGAATAGCAATTGGGCTAATGCTTTCATCTATGATCTAAGCCTTGAGTTTCTCACCTGTGAAAGAAGAAAGGACTATTTCAACTGCATAATTCTATATCTGAAAGAACGTATTTACTTTTCCTTCCGTCTATTGACAGATGACTAAGACTTTGTGAAATTTGGGGAGAGTGGCTCTTATATTGAGAGTTCTGCCTAAACAAAGGAAAGGTCTGAAAAAGCACAAAACATGTTAGCTGAATGATAAACAATAATTGCATGTGGAGAATAAATTATGTGAAGGTTAGTGATATGATTTAAGAAAGGGAGGGTGTGGGTCCGACAATGGAAGGTTTGGAATATCAAGCCTGGGATATGAACTTTGTTTTGTCAATGATAGAGAATCATTGAAGAATTTGAGAAAAAGAGCAACATGATCAGAGCTCTGCTTTAAAAGAATTGATATGGGAGATATGTGGTTGATAGGATGAGTGGGCAAGGATTGGTATTAGGGAGATCAATTGGGGTGCTACAACAGCAATCCAGAAAAGAGAAAATAAAAGATTGAACTAAATTTGGGGCAGCAGGGATATAAAAGGAAACAATGGCTTCAGTGGGTCCGCTAGGAAGACTTTTGGGCAGAAAGTCAATAGAGTTGAATTTTTATTCAAACAACCCACTTCTCTTCTCTGACCATCATGAGAAACATGAACAAAAATTGAATTTCAATAGATCTTTGACTTTTAACAATCCATGCTTTTTCATTCCTGTTGCTTCTAAGGATACATATCATAAAATCAAATTAAAGTACAAAGCACAACAGACGATATACCAAGATAAAAAGGACTTTCTTAGCAGCTCTTATCTAAACCTCACTGACTCTGCATGTCTTTCTGTTTCCTTTAGTACTTACAACTACGATTCAACAAACCAGTTCGCTATGCTGCCACAGTCATCTACATTGTACAGACGGTAAGGGGTCATGGCTGCTGCAGATGTGGAAACTATGAGGTTACTAGATACAGGTTTGTTTATTTTGGGGGCAATAAACTTAGCTAAAGGACATTTAATACTCAGAAGACACTACTTTCTTCCAAAGATAGCACTTTTAATCTGTACTAAAAATAACAAGCAAATGTATATTGTATGCCACAAAGGGAAAAAAAGCCATCTGTGTGTGTGTGTATAAACCACCCACACTTTCTTAACATGTATTTCACTGCTGTTTAACCTGTACCAGTTGCTCTAAGTTAGATATGAAATGGTCTGGTAAATAGGGTTTTTCTTTCTTTCTTTTTTTCTTGTTTGTTTTTAACCATTAACTGAGTTGAAGCAGAAATACCTATTTTACTGAAAGTCATTTTAAGACAATATTCCCAGCGAATACTCCTACTTGCCTCTCTTCTCTCTTCTGAACTCCTTTCACACCCTCCCAGCTTTGGGATGTCTTCATGCTGCTCCAAATTTGCCCATGGCACAGCATTGGTACACTTCCTACTACTCACCAAGTGCTTTCTGCTAGAAGATAAGCTTCTTCCCTCTTTTTAATCGAAACTCCCACTCACTGACTGAAGAATTTAGGCAAGAAAATAGGAGGAAAACCATGCTCATTTACCTGCCCATAGATATTTGCCTTTTAAACCCCTAACATGAATCTCTGCATGGTGAAATTCCAAATAGAAACTGGAGAAACTGGACCTATTTCCAGCAGGGTGGTGGTTGCACTTCTGGGAATTAGAAGATATATTCATTATGGAGATCACCCATGTTGTTAGTCTTCCCAGCACAGTACTTTTTTTTCCCTCACAGATTCTTTTTATCTCACCTCTAAATTCCGTATTTCAGTAAACTGCTAAAATATGCTTCTGTTCCTTAGTAAAGCTTCTCATGAAGTCAGTAGAGAGTACATTGTGATGTGTGTATCAGGAAAATGGGTAGAAGGAAGATGAATCAAAACTTAAGTAAGTCTATTTTTATATCCCTTAGAGATATACAAAATATAACCATAGTATCTCAAAATTAGTAGCAATTTTGAAAACCCAACTCTCTTCCTCCATCTAATGATTACATCCCCTCTACAAACTACTGATAGTGGTGAGCAACTTCAAAATTAGAGTGGACGGGAATGCAATGTTTGGTGAACAAGTTGAAGAGAATACAACTCTAACATCAATAAAGAACTTTCCAGGCAGTTTTCCTTTCTATGTCACTTTCGCACTGCCAACCTGATTCTTGTTTCTCTACCAGATTCTCTACACAGGAGTGGTGGTGTATGCTCCTGCCCTGGCACTCAATCAAGGTAAGTTATCAACATTCCCTTGGCACATTTTACCATTTTTATGCCTGAATTCTAACCTTGGAGAATTATAAATAAAATACTTTGTTGGGGAGATATTCTTCTGGTTAGGGGATTCTGAATTACTATTAGGAGTCATGACATAAAGCTCTAAATATTGATTAAACTTTGAAAATAATGCAAACAATTAATTACTTGGTTTTGACTCATATACTTCTAGACACCAATTTTGATTGCTTTTGCTTGTTTGGGATTTGGTTTTGGTTTTTAAATCATTGGAATTGTGGAAGTTTTGGTATTGTATATGTTGCTAAGTATGGTCATCTATAATATATGGACTTCAGTGATCTCATGAAGTAGATAATCTCAGTATAAGAGTAAAGCTTGCTTGTAATAGTTACACTAAAATATATAGTTTGTTCTTTCAAAATAATAGAATCCTATAAACAAAAAGGAAAGAAATAAAAGTCAAAGTAAACTTCACAATGACGCTTGCCATATTGAAAGTCCTCAATATTCCATTTAATTGGGCTATGTGCTTATATTGAGAAATATTAACCTCAGAGTCAGTGAGGATTAGATAAGTGCTGCCAAGAAAGTCCTTTTTATCTTGATATTCCTCTGAGTTTTGTGCTTTGGACTTGTAATCTGATTTTATGATATGTATTCTTAGAAGCAACAGGAATAAAAAAGCATGGATTGTTAAAAGTCAAAGATCACTGGTAGTTAGAGAAATGCAAATCAAAAACACAATGAGATACCATCTCATGCCAATTAGAATGGCGATCATTAAAAAGTCGGGAAACAACAGATGTGGGAGAGGATGTAGAGAAATAGGAATGCTTTTACATTGTTGGTGGGAGTGTAAATTAGTTCAACCATTATGGAAGACAGTGTGGCGATTCCTCAAGGATCTAGAACCAGAAATATCATTTGACCCAGCATCCCATTACTGGGTATACACCCAAAGGATTATAATCATTTTATTATAAGGACACATGCATACATATGTTTATTGCAGCAGTATTCACAATAGTAAAGACTTGGAACCAACCCAAATGCCCATCAATGATAGACTGGATAAAGAAAATGTGGCACATATACCCCATGGATAATATGCAGCCATAAAAAAGGATGAGTTCATGTCCTCTGCAGGGACATCGATGAAGCTGGAAACCATCATTCTCAGCAAACTATCACAAGGACAGAAAAGCAAACACCACATGTTCTCACTCCTAAGTGGGAGCTGAACAAGGAGAACACATGGACACAGGGAGGGGAACATCACACACTGGAGGCCTGTTGAGGGGTAGGGGGCTAGGGGAGGGATAGCATTAGGAGAATTACCTAATGTAGATGACGGGTTTATGGGTGCAGCAAACCGCCACGGCAGATGTGTACCTATATATGCTAGGTACGTTCAATAAAAGGATTGTTTTCCTAGAAAAAAAAAGTCAAAGATCCATTAAAACTCAATTTTTGTTCATGTTTCTCATGATGGTCAGAGAAGAGAAGTGGGTTGTTTGAATAAAAATTCAAGTCTACTGACTTTCTGCCCAACAGTCTTCCTAGTGGAATCTCTAAAGCCATTATTTCCTTTTATATCCCTGCTCATGGATGATGTTTGGGTGATTTCAGAGTACTCAAACTAACTTTGTTGAGAAAAACAGAAACTCAAAAGCAAAACATTTGGATCAAAGATTGGAATCTACAAAATCTTAGGAGGAAAAATTTGACTTAACATTACGTAAAATGTATGGACTAGCTAGAAGTATAAAAATATAACAAAAATAATCTTTCTCGAAGGTGAGAAAATTTAATGAGGGAAAACTCTAATTTGATTTTATTTTTGCCTACAAAGAACACTGATAAAAATATTGTGTCTTTTTCCTCATAAAATTTGCTCTTTAAATTTTTCAAGGAAACTTATTTTAATATATTTTTCTTCTTTCCTAGTGACTGGGTTTGACCTCTGGGGCTCTGTGTTTGCAACAGGAATTGTTTGCACATTCTACTGTACTCTGGTATGTATCTAGCTGTGAAGAAGTATTTAACACTACCTCCTAATATGGGGTAAGGGCACATCTCCAGCAACAGACATCTAATTATAGCAGAATTTGTTATTCCAAAATTAAGCAGAAGTATGTCGGCTTATCTGTCACAGTTTCCTGAGGAAGGTGCTGTTGTTTAAAATTCTTTTCATTATCAACCTTTAAGAGAATTTAATCTCTGCACTCATTCAAGAAAATCATGCCTAAGAAGAAAAAAATCTAATGAAAAAGTCTTCTTGATTAGAGAATAGGTGAACCTATGCTACTTCTGAGAAAATAGTTTACTCATTCATGGCCCTCATAAACCACAGATGACACTTATACTTTACACTTTATACTTCACTGTCTACTGGTTGAGAAATAACAAAATGTACATACAAGTGAGCAATGATGGCTGCTTTTTTATAAACTTGAGAATTTCGCAGCTTGTTTTTGTCTTGTATTTCTGGATAAGCCTGGATTACACTTACCATTTGGCTTTACACATGCCCTGTTTTTAATTAAGGAGCCTGAGTCGTATTGGCAGCATGTTTATGTAATTAATACAATTATATATAGTCTAGTTCAACATTCATTGAGGACCTGTTGTTTGCCCATTCCCTGTAACTGTAATCTTTATTATTCTGAGTCATTTTACCATGTACGACCTATAATTAACCAGTTAAGCATGTGGCAGTGGTTCCCAGACAGTTGAATTCTCTTTCCTTCACTATAGATAAAAATAAAAAAATAATATATTTTCATATAGCAGATAATTCATGTATTTTGGTGTTATGTGCATATCACCTACTCTTTGTAACATCTATTCTGATTATATAACATCCTGATCTCTCTTTTTCATACTTGTAAATTCCATTATTTATTTGCACTTAGTTTTGTCTTCATTTTTAAAAATTTCATTCTCATTACCATAATTCTATTCCAGACACTCAACTCTTCCCAGCTATGCTAAAAAAATAGGATCTTGCTTCTCTTACCTCTAATCTCATGTAATAGATTAGTTGCTCTGAGGTACCTGTCCAGAGAAGGACAGCTAGATGCTGGATATAACAATTTTTAATGCATTGCTTGTCTTGAAAAAGCTATCATAGCTCCCTAAGTAAGTGTTCTCCCCCCAAAACAAAGTAATAAAATAATACAAAACAATTTAAAACATATTAATTATCAGGACTGATATTTGGAAGGAGTGTTGTGGGTAGACAGGATGCATGAGGCTGACTTGAAGGCAGGTGGTGATAACAGTACTACTACCATTAAGGTACTGAAATTTGGGTCAGTGAAAATTTAGGGAAACTGGGCTTGGGACTATAACATTAAGCTAGAATCCTTGAGGGGAGCTGACATGGTTTTACTTCAGTGATGTACTTCAAATTTTTCGAGGAAAAAGTGCAAATCCTCTCTGGAGGAATAATCCAACTTAAGACTATAAGATATTTACACACAGATAAAGATCTAACGATAACTTTAACAAAATATCATAAAAAATACGAAATAGAAATTTACTGTGAGTGAGGATAAGCAAAGCAATAAAGATTTAGCCTCTCAAGAACAAAATACTTTGGTATTAAAAGATATCGAATAAAAGAATAGATATGCATAAACAGCTTAAATAAATAAAGAATGTAATTTCAAAGATGAATAAGCATCAGGAATGACTGACTACACAATATAATTATTATTATAAAGAGCAAATATATTTGAAGAAACAATCAGTATGATGGAAACTCTATCCAAATTCTATCCAAAGAAATAACCTAAAGAATAACAGAGAGACAAGAAGATGAAAAATGTGAAATAGAAATGGAGACATACGGTGGGCAAAATTCATGTCCAATTGGAGTCTCAGAGGAGCATACAAAGTCTCAGAGGAGGTGAAGTAGTGTTTCAAAAAATTATGGCTTGTAATTGTTCAGATATGATAAAATATAAGTACATATAGATTTAGAAAGTGTAACCTTAAAGCAGAAAGCAAAAGAATAAGTTTATGTCTAGATACATTAGTGAAACTGTAGAACGGCAAATACAAATGGAGGACCTGAAAAAGAGCCAGAAGAAAGAGAAAGAGATACTTAAAGAGCGACACTTAGCAACAACAATGGAAACCAGAAGCAGTGGAATAATATATTCAAAGCATTGAGGAAAAACTATTCCAGACCCAGTCATAATTGTGTTTTTGACAAAACTATCTTTCAGAAGTTGAGTGTCAACAACCAAAGAGAATTTAGCCCTTACAGATCTTCCCTAAAGAAAAATCTAGAGGAGATACTGCGGAAGAAAGGGAAAACATTAAAATATGACAGTTTTAAACAGAAGAATTGATAAGAAAATAAAATAGTAAACATTTAATGAGTCTAGTTAAACTATTTTTGGTACTAAATGATAATCATTATTTTATAATTTATATAGTATTAAATGTTTTATATTATTGTACAATTTAAAATATAAAACATATCAATAATTATGTTCATAATTATAATTATATGCCACTTTGAAATTAAGAAAAAAGAATTACCCCCAAACTATATAACAATAGCATGTAAATCAGGAAGGGAGTACTCAGACCTAAATGTTTTATCATCCTTGAATTTCTGGGGATTACGGCATTGCTTAAATATTAACTCTACATTTAAAATGCATGGCAAAATTTCAAGGGAACCCATTTACATAAAATAGTCAAAGTTAAGAAAAATGGAGTTTGAAAAAGCAACCTTCAATTCATCAAAGCAAGAGAAAAAAGAGGAAAACAAGCATAGCCAAAGTAGGACACATAGAAACGAAAAAGCATGACATCAGAAACACATCCAGATATTTTTATAATCACAATAAACTAAAATGAACTAAATTTACTACCTTCTAACTGGTTTTATGCTTCCAGTCTCTTCTTGCTCCCACACCCCACATACCTCTGTCAGATTAATCTTCTTAAAATATTCATTTCTTCGTGCCACTTTACTGATCTAATTCTTTCCTTACTTCCTATTGTTCACAAGATAAATTATAAGCTCCTTAGCCTGGTGTTAAAAATCTTTCATTCTGTGAATCCAATCTACCCATATAATCTCTGTACCACACCTCTGTTCTTCTCTGTTGTCAAATTAGAGGCTTCACCTTTGCTTATATTGCAGTCTCTTTACTGTGCTAAGCCTGTGGATGTATAAAATATTTAAAGTAACAGTGAAAGAGAAAGTGTTTGTTGCCATCCAGGGTTCTGTAGTTTAGTAGGGCAAACATTAGGCCCCAAACAAGGCAGTTTGATTAAATATGTAGGTGACACACAAGGTACCATCAGTATTAAAGAAGATAAGTGTGTGTGTGTGTGTGTGTGTGTGTGTGTGAAAGGAGGTGAGGACTCTTGCTGTATGAAGAAGTCAGACAAGTCTTCATGGTGTCTATAATGTGCCTTTTGATTAATATCTGATAAAGTGGTTTGTTCTCTTGCCTTATGCCAAGTTTATGCAGATTTCTGCACAACCAATGCCAAGTATCCTCTGAAAACAGAGGCCTTTGCCATTTTGTCTTCATAGCACTAAAATCTTATGTTGAGATTTGGGTTTGGAAGGCTTAATGGATTTAAGAAAATTAAGCTAGTGCTACCTAGGAGGTAAGAGGTAAGAAATTTATTATTTCTCAAACCATGTGTGAACAAAATACATAAATACAATGCCTTTGGCAGGTACTTTAATGTCTATTTTTAAAACTGAATTTCAATTTTAATTACAAAAGAAGTGATGGGGCAACCCCAATGTCTTCTTTCATCTCAAGATGAAGATGAAGCCTGTCATCTTTTCACTAAAGTTCCTGACACTCTGGAGGAGTAACCAGAGATGATAATTCTGTTTTTCAATGTTAAAAATACCACGTCATTTCATTTTCACAGAGCTCATTCATTTCCCAAGCACTTACTGATACATCACTTTATTTCATCTTTCCCCACTTGCTCATCCCACATAGATCATGGTCCTAAGGGCTTCTATACCTGCAATACTACAACACCCTCTCTTTTTCCTTCCTTCTTCTTGCCCAAAGGTTCCCAACTGTAATTCTACATTAGAGTCAATGAGGGAGCTTTCAAAAGACACTGAGGACCAGACCCCAATCCAGACCTTAATTAATTCACAACCCCTGGGGATAGGGCTTAAATGTTATTTAATTATTTATTTTTCCTTTTGCATTCCTCAAGTGACTCTCAAGGGGAGCTGGGATGGATTTCATAACTACTGCTCTAACCCCTTACCTAATCATTGTATCCCAGATTTTGCTATTAGATTAATCCTCCTGGACCTCTGTTCTGCTTACCTCACCATTTGACCATTCTGTAGCTCTTAAAACTCATTCCTCCATGAATGTCTGGAATATACCATTCCTTCCTAGTTCTTTGTTTGATATTCTACCATCTCAATTTCCCAAAATATATTCCCTGTGACTAATTTTACAGTTTCTCTAGTTGTGCAAGCCAGACCCTATTGGTTAGTCTTCATTCCTTTACTTCTTTATCACCTGTATTCAATGAATCATGAGTTATGTTGATTTTACCTCCAAAATAGCTTTTAAGCCCATCCACTTCTTTTCATCTCTACCTTACCTCCATCTGCCAATCATATCGGGCATGGACTACTGAAATAAACTGAGATGGTCTCTCAACTCCTTTTCTTTTCCTGCAGTTGATTCTCCACACAATCACCAATGAAACTGCTGTGAAACAAAATCTCTCATCATATAACTCTTGTTAATGCTTTCTTATGCTCCTGAGAAATCATTTAAGTGTCCTCATCAAAGTCTGTGTGGCCAGGCCTCTAGCAAATTCACCCAAAGAGCAAATTCCTCTTTGGGTGTTTCACACCTTTGACCAACATCTTCCAGTTTTCTTGTATTTCCTCAGGGAGCTGTGCTTCTTCACACATGCTGGCTCCCTCTTCTCTTTGTCCTCTGTAGTTGGTAAATTCCTACTCATTCTTCAGAAATTAGCTTGAATATCATTTCCTCAATACCAGGTCAGGGCTCCCTGTTTTATGCTCCTATAGTAACCTGTCTTTCTTAGTTGCACTTTCCACATTTTTAAGTAAATCACTATCTTGTTGTCTAACATCTGCTTCTCCCATTAGATTATAAACTTTATAAAGTTAAAGAAGGGGTCTGTCTCACTTTTCATTTTATTCTCATGCTTAACACAGTACTGGGCACATAAAAGATGCTCAGTGGCTGATGCTGAATAAACAAAAGAATGCATGCATGTATTAGCAGAGAGGCTTTGCAGAGTCAGAAGAGTTACAGGGTTTGTTTTCAAGGACTCAAACATTCTCTCTATTTCAGGGAGGATTAAAAGCAGTGGTGTGGACAGATGCATTTCAGATGGTTGTCATGTTTGTGGGCTTCTTAACGGTTCTCATTCAAGGATCAACTCATGCTGGGGGATTCCACAATGTATTAGAGCAATCAACAAATGGATCTCGACTACATATATTTGAGTATGTCCAATGCAATTTTTTCATACTTTACAAAGATTTAGCTATATGACCTTGTCACCTAAAATAATATCTTGGGCATCAAATGAATATCTTTGTTCACTCATTTCTGTCTGTCTCATAGCTTTGATGTAGATCCTCTCAGGCGACACACTTTTTGGACTATCACAGTGGGAGGAACTTTTACATGGCTCGGAATCTATGGGGTCAATCAATCAACTATTCAGCGATGCATCTCTTGCAAAACAGAAAAGCATGCTAAGCTGTAAGTTCTCAGTAAAGACAAATTTTAATGTTTTATCTTACCTTATTTGGTACTTATTATATATTAATACTCCCTCTTGGGGTGTGTGTGTGTGTGTGTGTGTGTGTGTATGTGTGTGTAAGAGAGAGGCAGAGAGACTCACTTAACTCTTCCAACTTTTTGAGCCAAGCGTTACTACTGTCATCTCAGCAGGAAGTGGCCGAGAAGAGGTATGAACTGAAGTTGATTTGTCTTTTCTCACAATTATTTGCTGCCTCCATTTATTGAGAAATTACTAGATTAAATTAGGTACTGTGGGTGGCAATGCAAAGGTAAATAGCTCACATTTCTTCCTCACTTGATTTAGCATGTGGTCTCTTCAACTATTATTTTTCTTTTCATGGGTTAAAAGGTAAACTGAGGCACAATTAAATTTTTAAAGAGTTTATTTAAGTGAACAGTGATTTATGAATTAGACAGTTATCAAATAGAAGTAGCTCAAGGCCTCCATTGAGGGAGCACAAGGGGAAAAATTATAGGTTAAACATGGAAATAAAGCAAAGGAAATATTTTATTGGTTACATCTGTACAGTTGTCTTACTTGGTCTATCCGACTGGAAATTTCTTAGTTAGATATCTGTAAGTTAGTTGGTGGTTTCTGAGTGGTTAGCATTAAGTTTCTTTTTTTTTGTTTGATATAGGCATTTACCAGAAAAAGCCCAAGTTAAGCTTCATTTATATTTGCAAAGGTTAAGCTCACTTAACAGATGTTTGTACTCTTAAAGTTTCCAAGGAGAGCTTTAAAAAATAAGCAAACAAAGGGTAATGTAGCAAGCCACAATGGAACTTCAGCTGCTCTGACTGTTTCCTGGTCTGCTTTCTCTGAAGGATACAAGCAGAGGCACAAGCATCAAGTGTTTTCCAAGCCCCGCAAGCTATCCATGCTCCAAAATAGAGACCAAAGTTATATACACTTTCACAAAACTGGCAGAAATAAGCCAAAACTGCATCCAAAATGATTCTTCATCTTCAGTGCTGCTTCCCAAGGTTTCAACCTCCCCAGCCTAACCAGGATACACTAAACTTTTCTTAGAAAAATAGTCACTATGAATATTTCCCCAAGTGATTTTAAAATGCTTTCAATGCACAGTTTCTTATGTTCACTAAATAAAATATAAAATTGCCTGGAAATGATTCAACCATTTTGTAAGCTGAATTCCAAAAGGAGAACTGTAATGTAATATTTCACAGCTCTCAGAATAAGGAAATAAAAGCATTATCTGGTGTTCCATCAATTCACTGGTAACAAATTCAAATCTTATTACAATAAATAATATTGTAACAAATCCTCCACACATGTGGTCATCTCTTTATCAAATAGCTGTGTTATTGAAAATACATGTGACTTAATCTGAAAAATTCATTTAAAATTCTGCTCTAAAATAAATTATAGTTGGCTATACCTGTAAAGAGAAGAATCCTTTGGTAAAATAAATAATAATTCTTTGTTATATCTAGTTTTTAAAACTATTATGAGTTTATATTATTTTCTTTTGCGAATATGCCTAATTTCTCTATGTTAATACCTGAAAGTTAGGAAATGTGTCTTTTTAATCATTTTTCCCCACAAGACCAAGAACAATGCTTTGTGCTTATTAAATGTTTATCGCTTAGTAAACAAAGTAATGCCTTGAGAAGGTCATACTTGTGTGTATGTATTACACAGGGACACACACATGTATGGATGGGCATATATATGTGAGTGTGTGTGTGTACACACTCATATATATATATGTAAATGAAAATTAAGGCTAACTAATCAGAAGCCATCAATGAACTTATCATTATCTAACTAGGACATTTCCAACAAGATAGACCAAGTAATACAATTATATAGCTGTAATCAATCAATATGTGTACACACACACATATTTCTGTATATAAATCTTAGAAACCTCATTTAGTAAAGTAGTTTAATTCAAGAAAAATAAATACAATCCCATTTCTATAGTTACCTGGAAATTGGAATTTGTTTTACTAGTATTTAGTGAGTAAGAAAGCTGGCAGAAAAGGAGGCATACTCATGAAGAAAGAAATGTACACAATTTCCTAACAAATGTACATCATTTTTTAACATTCAGGACTGCCATTCCTGGTTCCACTCATGCTGACTCCCACGAAGGGATTAGGACTGTGATAGTGATTTTGTGAGAATATTGAAAGACGAAACATAAAAATTCGCTTTAGAAAAGGGATCCCTGAGAGAATCTAAGGTGACAGGGTTCATAAAATTCAGGAGAGAGAAATCAGTTCAGATGTTCGGTACAGTTGCAGTGCACAGAGCTGCAGGGGAGATTGCTGTGGTGGGGAAATGGTGAGGGCTCCCATCTGTCACGTAGTTGGAGCCTTAAGGGCACTCAGGGGCATCTGGAAGCCACTCAGAGCCAGCTGCTGACTGACTGTCACCTAGGAGGCTCTGCAGATGCCGATGAGATGTTTTGCTTTTGTTCCATTATCTGAGAGCCTAATGTCATTAAGACATTCCATGGGGCTTCAAAAAATCTCTAGTACTTGAGGAAAATTAATCCTGCAATATAGGTAGGTAGAAATAGATCCATAAAGTTCACACTGAAGGTGGGCATGGGTTAGAATCAGGAGTGGCTCATATACATACATTTGGTTTCATGACCAGAAATGTGATTATTCACCAAAGACAACTTAATCTAAAGCCAAATCTTCCTTGCACCTAGAAATAGTATCACTTACCAAGACAGTTACATGTGCTTCCTGGAAGTTAACTGTTTGTGTTTCTAAACCCTTGTTTATCTTTCAGGTCTGCTGGTAGCAAATGGTGCTGTGAGGGTAGGAGTTGATGCAGGGTATCACGTCCCATCTCCCAATTACGATGAGCACATCTACACACAGTTGCTTTTCCATTTCTATTTCCTTAGTTTATTTTCCCCTTATCTCTATCAGATCTAAAATTATCTTATCGTATTTATGTATGTATGTATTTATTTATTTATTTTCAGTGTTCATTACCTGCTTCTAATCCCAAAATGTAATCTCCACGAGGTTGGGTTTTGCATTGCTTCTTGCTATAGCCACAGTACCTAGAACAGGGCCTGGTACAGACAGTTGCCCAGTAAATGCTTTCTGAATGGATCAGTGAAAAAGCCTATTTTACAAACAGAAGAATTAACCCTGTATAGAACCAACGTCCATTTCAAATGGTAAACAGATTAAAAATACAACGACTTTAATGTTCTATTGCCACTGGTTTCTCATTTTGCATAGTTGACCGATAAACTTGTAAGATTGTTTTGGATAATATATGACTGTCCTCTGGATGGCTATATAACTTCCACATATTTTTACAGAGTGTAACTCATTAAATCCTCATAATCCTATAATAAAATGTAAGGCAGTTACATTACATTCTTTTTACAGATGATATAACTGACTCAGAGTGTTATGTGACTTGCCTAAAGTCACATACTTGTTAAGGGTAAAGACTTTTAACTCCAGGTCAAATGGTATATTTTAAAAAGAAACAGTGTAAAAAATGTAATTATGTAGTAATGAATTTCTACCATTAATTTCTTCAATCATTTCATCATTTCTTACCAAAAAAATAATTTTATGTTTGCTATATGCTGAAACTGTTCAGTGCTCTGGGAACACAAAACAATAATACATGAATAAATATAGAATTTCAGATCATAAATACTATAGTGACATAATTAATTCTAAGAAGTAGAAACTGACAAGAAAGCAGGAAGTGACTGTTACAAACAAGGATGAACAGGAAAGCCTCTCTAGCCGGCCAGAGCAAAGGCTTGAATAGAGTTGGCCTGAAGGTTGGAGACAGCCAGAGTACAACTAAAGCAGTTATCAGTATTGCTCATTTTATGTAGCAATTGTATTCCCAAAGCCCAGCAAGAAAAACAAACACATAAAAATCATTGCATTGGCAAAATACTTTCAAGGAAGTAGCCTTTGAGATAAAAACTTCTTAAAAAACTTTAAATTGTGAAGTGAAAACTCCTCTAAATGGGATAATTATCTGGCATATTTGCCTTATAAATGTGGACTTTGATTGAAGGGTCTTCTGAAAGTCAAGTACACTTATACAGTATAGGTTTTAGAGGACTTTGAAATAAATGTATGTCCTTACATTTAAATATGATTCCCTTCAAACAGTGACTAGATCTTAGACAATGTTCAGCATTGTTCTCTTGGCCCCCTGTGGCCATCTCCACAGTGAGTTTGTTTATTCTCTCAGGCCAAGGTAAGGCCAGCCTACTTTCATGTCCTCTCTGGAATTGAGGAAATCAGTAAAATTTTGACTTTCAAAGGACAGTAATGAATACAACATAACTGTAGGATACTACAAAAGCACCCAGGCTGGAATTAGGCATATCTGTGCGTTTTAAAATAAAATGAATTGCTCCACATAATATGGGTAAGATGATCCTAAGTTTTTCGTACTTCTGTTGTCTTTTTAACAAACCAACTCTAACTTTTACCTGCATTAATCTCCAAAGTGAATATTTCCAACGCTTATCTATTTCTGTATTAGCTCATTATCCCTCTGGAAAAAGATGTTAAAAATATAAGTTGCCTTTTTGACAGTTTTATGAATTGAGTAGGGGGAAAATCACTTGAAGTTATATAATATGAGTGATTGGTATGTGAAATTTAATCCAAGAGAATAGATCTCATACCACACATATTAAGACTTTGCAGAAAACTCCTGATTTCAAAGGAAAATTCACTTAAAAATCTTACTTTATTTAAATTTGGTAATGAGTCTAAAAATGTAATGTTCTCAAGCAAAAAAAAAAAAAGAAAAAAAAATAACAAAAGTATAAAGTGTAGTGATTCTTAAAGGCTGTAGAATTTTATTTTACTAGCAAAAAGGTCTAAAATCCTTTACCTTGAGTACTTGATAATGACCTCACCACACCATGATATAGTATGTAGGCTACCAATAGGCCTATGTGCTCTTTTCTAGGGCCTTGTATTTTAACTTGCTGGGTCTCTGGATCATTCTGGTGTGTGCTGTCTTCTCTGGCTTAATCATGTACTCTCACTTCAAAGACTGTGACCCTTGGACTTCGGGCATCATCTCAGCACCAGACCAGGTATGGGTTTTCTTGAGGACAGTGGGGAATGTCTGGAATGAGCATGCTTCTGGTCATTGTTGGGTAATGTTGGCTTTTCTCTTTTTCTGCCTGGACTGCTCACTATTTCTCAAACCCCAAGAAGTTGGCTTCTTTCTTCTCTTTGGTGATATCTGCATCTACCAGGTTCAAATATAGGGGAATGAGAATGTAAAAAAGAGGGCACCTTGGCCAGGTGCGGTGGTTCACACCTGTAATCCCAGCAGTTGGGGAGGCTGAGGCAGGCAGATCACCTGAGGTCAGGAGTTCGAGACCAGCCTGGCCAACATGGCGAAACCCCATCCCTACTAAAAGTACAAAAATTAGTCAGGCATGGTAGCGGGCGCCTGTAATCCCAGCTACTCAGAGGCTGAGGCAGGAGAATTGCTTGAATCTGGGAGGCAGAGGTTGCAGTGAGCTGAGATGGCGCCACTGCACTTCAGCCTGGGTGACAAGAGTGAGACTCCATCTAAAAAAAAAAAAAAAGAGGGCACCTCACCTTGTTTCTGAAGACAAGGCCTGGTAACATAGCAAGGTTGGAAACAGTGGAATGCAGCTTGAACCATGGCTTTGGATGTTGCTGCTGCCTTTGGACTCTTCCTACAGGTTTCACAGTTGATTAAGGAACCTCAGATTGGAGACAATGATCCTTATTTCCACAATGCCTGCCTCTTTTCATGTCTTCTCAGCATAATTTAAATATTGTGCTGCTATAGTACAGTAAACATGGTTTTGAAAACTTTGTTTATGGACAATATGCTCATGAGAAGCAATCATTTGCCTTCCCTCTCTATATGTATTTAACTGTCCTGCTCTGTCAAAGAGGGACTCCTCTGCCACAAACCTGGATGTAGAGTAGAACATCATATCTAGATTCCCTGAAGACTACTTTTATGGGTTTGATTTTAGGGCTTAGTTGCTAACATTCAGGATAAACAGGAAAGAAAATGGCATATATTGAAAACAAGGAAAATAAACTTCCTACCTCCTTTTGCTCAAAAGCTATTTTCCCACATTTCAAACACTAATGAGAAAGCCGCGAATCCTATTTTTTCTCTCTTTTCTTTTCTTTCTTTCTTCATTGTACTTTTTTATTTTTTGCCTCCTCTTCAGCTGATGCCATACTTTGTCATGGAGATATTTGCCACAATGCCAGGACTGCCAGGACTTTTTGTGGCTTGTGCCTTCAGTGGAACTCTGAGGTTTGTATATCAACAACAATCTGATGATGATGATGGAAAGGATGACAAGGATGATGGTGTAGTGATCGACAGTATTCAGCAAGCACTCACTGTGTGTAAACTGATCTTCTGAATGTGTTATTTGTATTTGCTTGTTAATTGGCACACAACATATGAGGCTAGAACTTCACTCATCAGTATACACTCATCAGTATATTCACTCATCAGTATACAGATAAGGAAAATGAGATTTAGCCAGATAGAAAAATTACCTATGGTGAGTTAGTAAACTGCAGGGGCTGGATGTAAGCCTTGATCGGGCTGGATGTAAGCCTTGATCTGTCCCTACTGAAGACTTTTATGCTCATTATCCTACCTTGTCTGATGCTAATTGACCCCACACTTTCACATCACCTTTACATAAAGCAGCTCACTCTGCTGGCTCTTCTTATTCATTCGGCTGCAATGTATATAGTCATGTACCACATGATGTTTCAGTCAATGATGGACTGCATATATGATGATGGCCCTATATTTTAATACTGCATTTTATCATACCTTTTCTATATTTAAGTACACAAATGCTTTGCGATTGTATTACAATTGCCTACAGTATTCAGGACAGTAACATTCTGTACAGGTTTGCAAACTGGGGGCAGTAGGCTATACCATATACCCTAGGTGTATAGCAGACAATGCCATCTAGGCTTATGTAAGCACATTATGATGTTAGCACAATGATGAAATCACCTAACAATGCATTTTCTCAGAACATAGCCTTGCCATTAAGCAATGCATGGCTATATATTCTGCACATCTATTCTTTGCATTCCATTCATCTCATCTTTAATAACACATCAGACAGCTAATAACTTCCATTTCTCAAATAAGGGCATTATTCTAAATACAAAATCATTCATGCATTTTATTATGGCAAATACTTTAGAAGGCTTATATTATACCAGACACAGTTGGTGACATCAGGGATATTGCAGAGAACAAGACTGACATAAGCACTGTCCTTGCTTATACAGAGTTTGCTTTCTAACAGACATGGCAGATGGCCATGTGAGTAAAAAAGATAAATAAGATTGTGTCTGAAAATAGCAAACAGTATAAAGGAAATAACAGCATGTATCCTCGAGAGAGGTGAGGTCTGAGGGTCCTAATTTTGTTAGGCTCTTTAAGGAACTCCTTTCTGAATATGTGATACTTGTATTGAAATCTAAAGGATACAAAAAAGCCAGCTATGTGAAGAGCACAAGCAGGAACATTTACAGGTAGGGGGAAAAGCAAATACTAAAGCCCTGGGGAGACAAACTGTATGGAGTATTTGAAGAACAGAGGAAACACTGGCACCTAAGGCCCTGGGAGCAGAGCAGGTGGGGATGAGTTAGAAGAGGTGAGCAAGAATCAAATAATGACGAGCCTTCATAAAATGGTAGAGTTTGCATTTCAAGTGAAATAGGAAGTCATTAGAAGGTTTGAAACCAAGGGAGTGAGTGATATACAAATTGAAGACTTGGTCTTCTCTGTCAGGAAGATTTGAGCTTGCCTCTTTATATATAAGAAAAGTAGCCAATTGACCTAGGTTAAGGACTCCTTTTCTCATTTGTTCATTGTTTATTTGCTTTATTAATGACATTTTTGAGCACATAAAGATTTTAATTTATATTAATGTTTTACATCCTGATTTCAGGGTTAACATCATGCTCAGAAAGGTTTGTCCATTCTACGATTGTAAATAATCAACTAGACACCATTCTAGTATACTTATGGTTTTATTCAATATTAACATTATTAAATTATCTAGACTATACATGTGATATAAGAAATTAAGTGAAGTTCCTGCTTTATTTTCCTTGTAAACTAGTAACCAAGTTGTCCCATTTGTCTTTAATAAACAGGCCATTTTTCACCACTGACTTGAAATATTACTTTTATTACATTCTATATTCTTCTTTGTAGTTGATACCTCTTCTTAATTATCTTTTACATTCTTTTGATGTATTGGTCTTTAGCTATGCCAACACCAATAATTTTGATGACTGTGCTCTAAAATATAATTTATCTATTAGGCTGATACCCTAATTAATTTTATTTTACAGAACTTTCCTGATACCTGGGGGTTTTAAAACAATATTTTTAGTTGATTCTTTGGGGTTTGATTGTAATCGATTATCTGCAAATACTCTTGACTTATTTTCTTTCTTTTAAATAGGCGTACTTCTATGTTTATTTTCTTATGTAATTGTGCTTTGAGAACAATAATAAATAATTAAGGTAATAACAGAAATCCTCCTTTTATTATGTACTCTAAAAGGAATATTTCTTTGATTTTACAATTTAATAAGGTATTGACTTTCGGTTTGAAAGGTATTATTTATATTTGAGAATATTTGCATAAATTATTTAAAAAGTAGAAGAATAAAATGCATATATTTATGCTAATTTTAGAAAAGATGTTGATCTCAGTGGTATATTTTGGTAAAATTTTAGCATTTTTGAAATGGATATATAATTTTGCTCTTTCAAAACTTTTAGCAGAGACAATGTCCTATGGTGTTGGTCCTAGGATCTCAAGGACACTAAGGACAGAGATAATGAGCACCAGAGACTCAAACACCAGTAAGGGTCACACTCTGTCTTTTTGTCTCTCTCTACGTGCTTTATTTTTTGCTCTCTTACTCTGAGGCTCACTCTTTCCAGACTGGAGAAATATGGCTGTTAACAGAATAAATCCCCCATAAAAGAGTGTTGATTCCTTTATTCTAAGTCCCAAATTTTCAAGGAAGAAACACACTGGACAACATATGGTATAGAGAGATTACTGCTGCCACAACCACAAGGAGACTGTGGGGACAGAGAAAGGAAAAGACAGGAGTGGGGATAGAATGGGGAGATAGTGGTTGAGACATAGGGGAAAAAATATTTGCACTATCTTACAGCAGCTTTAAAATCTGAAAATTGACATATGGATACACCTGACTGCCAGTGCAACCCTGCAAAGGTTCTACAAACCTTACCCTTCTGGGCCAAATTCAACTTTCTGCTCTCTCCCACCCAAAGGATTCAAAGATTAACCTTGATGTTGGAAACTTTCACAAGATGTATATTAAGACAAAGATTTTGGGAGCATAAAAAGTCCTCTTATTTAATACTCTTCTCTCCTTATTTAACTTTTATGGAGCTCCAGATAGAAGAGGAGTCTGGCAGGGGTCACATATTATGTTTTAATTCTTAGAAAAATACGAACAGTACCCCCAAAGCACTTAGTTTTCAGATATGGGTCTTGGACAGTTTTTACTTCCTCTGTATATATTACTTAGAGAAGTCATAGCTATATCTTGTGTTCAAGTAAGCACCAGAGGATAACAGAATAATTTTTAATTAATATAAATGGAAAAGTTACAAATTCCTAGACATCTTTTGTTCATTGGCCTATTTCTTTTCCAGAATTTTTTTTCATAGTTGTGATTTTGCATCACTTAAATTGAATATTTTATCTATTACACTAGCTAAAATATTCCAGGTCTGTATGAGGAATGAAAGAAGGTCTCATGTCATTCTGCAAAGAAAACCCCAACGTTCAGGTGCTGTGTCACCTAAGCAAGTTTTAGGTCAAATAAGATTGAGCTCTGATTGGAAAGTGAGAGACGGAATATCAGAGGTTTTATGCAGTTTCGATATGTGGACACTTCCCAGTCTTATCTCTTGCCACTTTCTCTTTTACTGTTATAATATCATTCCAGCAACGCTGGTAGCTTTCGGTTGTTGAATGTAACAGCTCCTTTTTATGTTGAGACATTTATATGTAAGTTTTCCTTCTTCCTACAACATCTTTTTCCCATTTTGCATGGATCTTCCCAGTGCCTATCTGTCACTTCCTAAGGAAAATTTTCCAAACTACATATCAATTTAGGTCTCTGTATGCTCTTATAGCACCTTGCTATTTTCCTTCACAACAATTTCACAACTGTAAGCAGGTAAATAATTGGTTGTCAAATGTTTGTGTACCAGTTAGAGTGCAAGATCTATGTCTTCCTGGTTCACCATTGTATGCTTGATACCCAGAATGAATAAAACGATGTATAAATAAATGAATGAATAATTAATGAGTGGCAGGCTGTACTGATTCCTGGGTTAGGGTAGTCACTACTCTCTGTTTCCACTCCAACCTGAACACACACATAGACACACACACACACACACACACACACATTTCCTCTGGTGCTGCCTGCTAGGTCATTTAACCTCTTGTTAAGAGGAATTAGTGGGTGTTAGATTATGAAAGCCTAGCTTCTTCACTGTAGTTCATGGAAAAAATTTAAGAGCAATAGCATGGAAAAAGATTTGAAAGATGAGTAAAGAGGCCATATAGTTCCCATGGAGTCTCAGAAGATAGAGACCTGTCCGCATCTGTTTTTCCTAGAGCCCTGCCTTATCTATCTGCCCTGGACGAGAGGGCAGGCTGGTAGTTCTGCCTTACGTAGCTTAGACCATGTTCTCACTTTTCTTTCCTTATAGCACCGTGGCTGCCAGCATCAATGCCTTGGCAACAGTGACCTTTGAGGATTTTGTCAAGAGCTGTTTTCCCCATCTCTCCGACAAGCTGAGCACCTGGATCAGTAAAGGCTTATGTAGGTACAGCTGGTGGACCTTCTATTCCATATCATGAAATGTACGTGTGGTACATGTCAAAATCCTGCACGTGCTGTTCAGGACACACTTATAAACACAAATGCACAGTGAGATATGTGAAGAATCCCACATATAGATTCTTACACTTCCAAAGATCCGGCGGGGTATCAGGAAAGAATGGCTAGCTAGTTTACCTTAACTAATTTTATTTTCAGATACTCTTCTATACTTACCCTACACTCTAAACGAGGCTTATCCAACCCATGGCCTGTGGGCTACATGCGGCCCGGGATGGCTTTTAATGGAGCCCAACACAAATTTGTAAACTTTCTTAAAACATTCTGGATATTTTTGTAATTTTAAAAATCTTTTGTAATTTTTAAATTCTTAAAATCTTATCAGCTATCATTAGTGTTTGTGTATTTTCTATGTACTCCAAGGCAACTCCTTCTTTCAGTGTGGCCCAGGGAGGCCAAAAGATTGGATGCCCCTGCAGACTAATCACATCAATCTCTCTTGATTACACTGTGTGATGGTCATTAGTCTCTCTACATGGGAAGATGTTGTGCTCACTATGGCCAGTCACCTTGACAAAGAAAAGCCGAATTCTTTTCTGAAGAACTGTTCCTTATTACCAAACTCCCAGTAACCCCATCAAAGAATAATTGCTCCTTGCTTAATCATGCAATTGCATATTATGTTTATAATCAGTTCAGCACTTACCAGAGAAATTGCAGTTTCACAAGGTTTACTTTTTAAAGTATAAACAAATTATGTATTTACTAATAGAAAATATAAGTAATTTGGGAAAACTTATGTACATTGTTAAATAAAATTATACCTATTTTTCTTGGTATGTATTATGAAATCTTGTTCTAGCAGGATTGAATACATAATTATGTGGCAGCAGTAAGTGTTGATACATTTTTTGTGTGCTTAATATTACTATTTTCTAAAATTGCCCAAGTTAGTAGACAAAATGGCATCACATTTTTGCTTTAGTTTACATATTTTGAAATATAGACCATTATTTTTCAGATAGTAATGATTTGTATATTTTTGTAAAAAAATTATTTATGCTTTCTATATATTTGTTGATGAGACAGTAGAAATTTTATTGTTTGCAAAATCTCTTTACGTAGAGAGGAAGTAAGTCCTTTGTCTGTTGTAGAATGTCTACCAGCTTAATTATTTTTAAACATATTTTTCATGTACAGAAAATTTCATTTTGTTTGATCAAATATATCATTTCTTTTATTATTTTATCATTTCTTTATGCTTATAAATTTCTTACATTAAAAACTTATGTTTATATTTTCTTTTAGATTGTAAGTACTTTTATATTTTATATTTAATACATCTAAATTACTTATTTGATTTATTATTTAAGATGATAAATTAAATTGTTTTTCTTTTTCTTTTTTAAGATGGAGTTTCACTTTCATTGCTCAGGCTGGAGTGCAATGGCATGATCTCAGCTCACCGCAACCTCTGCCTTCTGGGTTCAAGCAATTCTCCTGCCTCAGCCTCCCGAGTAGCTGGGATTACAGGCATGTGCCACCACGCCTGGCTAATTTTTTTTTTTTTTTTTTTTTTTAGTAGAGATGGGGTTTCTCCATGTTGGTCAGGCTGGTCTTGAACTCCCGACCTCAGATGATCCACCCGCCTCAACCTCCCAAAGTGCTGGGATTACAGGCGTGGGCCACCACATCCAGCCACTAAGATTTTTTTTTATATAGTTCACTTCCCCAGCATTATTTTTCCAATATTCCTGTTTTAAACATATTTTCATTAATAAAAATATATAACATAATTTTTTTTCATCTATAAGAATATATTTCATAGTATATACTTATTTTCTGTAATTACAGGACTAAACCATCTTGTTTGATATTATAGCTTTGTAGTATTTTATTTAAATATATGATAGAACAATTTCTCATTGTTCTTTCAGTTTAAAAATTAAAAATGTTTCCATTGTAATTTTTACAAAAAAAAATTGGCTATTCATTACTATTTATTCTTTCGAAATGACTTTAACGTTTATTCCATGGAACCTATCTGAACCCCCCACTGCCACTCCTCAATCCCATGGGATTGCATTAAACCTGAAAACATATTTGGAAACAACTGATATCTTTGTCAATCTTCCACGTAGCAATAGAATTTATTTTTTTCTATTTAACTGTATTGTATTTTTTAAATCTTACGTATTAACTATACTAACGTCTTCCTCTTTCAGCTCCTCTTCCTTCCTCCCCCTCGCGCTCTTCTCTTCTTTCTCTTCTCTCTTCTTCTTCTTTTGTTCATCCTCCTCCTCCTCCTTTCCTTGATATTATGAGTAAGATGCTTTCCACATAATGTCTTATAAACTATTTATTGTCATTGTGGAAGCTGTAATTTTTTGTTTTTGTCTTGAAAATGATATATCTGACCATTTACTCAACTCTCATTGATTCTTAAAATGCAAATTGATTTTATTGAAAGTGTGGTTGTTGCTTGCAAATATGAATAGTTTTACCATCCCTTTTATGCTTAATTTGTTTTCTAATTTAGGTGGTTTTCCATATCTTTCACTTTTTCTCTTATTTTCATAACTTTGTCCTTTTCTTCTGTATACTTGAAGAATTCAAGTTTTTCTCTATGTTACTTTGAATTCTCCCTATATAAACTTCTTAACAATAATGATTTTAATTATGCTATTGTGTTATGTTCCTTATATTTTATTACAAAAATTAAATTATTTGGCCAAGTTTAAAAATGTTATTGTGAATTATCATGTATACATTGCCTAGATTCTCCATTAATATTTTCCTAAGCTTGCTTTTTAGCATATCCATCCAGTTGTCTATCCATCCATTAATCCGTCATATTTTTGGTACATTTAAAAGTAAATTGTGGACTTCTGCATACTTCCCCCAAATTACTTTAACATGCACATTGTTAATGATAATTCACTATTTAAAAAGCTGGAAAAGAGAGCCTCAAAAGTTGCTAGCCTGATTTCATTTTAAGAGTAAGTTCCTGATAGGAAATATCATGTACTGAATTTGAAATAAAATAAAAATGATAAATACATAGTACTTGCTGTGTACCAGGCATTGTTCTTGGGTATATGCATATACTTGTTGGATTAATTTACAAGTAGCTCCTTTCTACAGTGAAAGCTGTTAGAGACAGGAATCACGTTCTAAGTTTATAGCACTGGCATCTGGTGCAGTGTCAAATCTATGGTTGGTATTCAATAAGATTGAATTAATAGTCATGTTGGGAACTGGGCTGGATGTATAGCTGACAGAGAATGTTCAAAAAGAATCAACACAATAGTTTTCTTTCCATTTCTGTCACTGTGTCTCTGTCTCTACCTGCTACTTTTTGCCTTTCTATTATTTAGTTTATGTGTTATTATTGGAATTCAGTGTACTCTTGAGATGATTTTTAAACAAAGATGTATAAAAAATGGCTTTTTAAAAGATGGTTTAGAAAAGACATTATTTTTACATGTTGACTAAAACATATATGCTGATTTATTAGTGAGCTTTTATGATACCAGAAGAGCACTGTACTCTGAAGGCCCTTATGGTGATATAGAAACAAATAAATCATTATGTAGCATAACTAAGGACCATAAGGAAAATACAAATAAAGTGCCAAAGGGAAAAATCTGAAAAAGTTTCCAGATGTGCGAAATCTGTTAGGTAGAATGTGTAGACGTTATTTAACTATTGTTAAGATGAAAAGCTACTGGACTCCTGGAATTAGTAGCTTCTTTTTCAGCTCCTTGCTGGAGGGTGGTTTCCCTGGAATTAATTTCCACTAATTTTGTCTAGATTTAGTCTGGACCTTTCCCACATTTTCATGTAGTTTCCACATAACAGATTTCTTCTAGAAGCTTAGGATAACCCTTGAGGCTGGATACCAGTTCATTCCGCCTGGCCTGAGGAAGCAGGTCATTGAAACTTTTCCTTGGTAGAGAGACTTCCTAAATGCCTCTCTTGGGGCTGATGATGGCTGAATGTGGAGGACGGTCCTCACTGAGATCCCTTTGCAAAGGGCTTCCATCAGAGACAGTTCTGAGTGGGGGTCATGTCATCCCTTGAAGTCAGGAATCCCTCAGGAAATTACGGTTGTAATTTTTCTTTCTTTCTTTCAGGTCTCTTATTTGGCGTGCTGTGTACCACTATGGCTGTGGCTGCATCCGTCCTGGGAGGTGTTGTGCAGGTAACGAAAGAAGGAAAAGACACATTTGATGTCACCAGAACTTCCCCCCACTCTCTTCTAATGTCCTGCCTCTTCCTCCAAGATCCAAAGGCTGACATTTAATAATACCAGCTCCCAATTAAAAATACATGTAAAATTTCAACCAAAATCACTTTCAGAAGGAGAAACTATTAAAACTAGTAATAGGATAGTGAGATAAAATTAGAAACTCCTAAAAATTCAGATCTGAGAATTTATTATCCTGATATAAAAGTAGTGATAATAATAGTTAAAACAATAATAATTAACATGTATGTAACACTCTGTTCTGGGCAGAGTCCTAAATGTATTATTTCATTTAATCTTCATCACTTCTCTTAAAGTAGTAGAATTAATGCACTAATTTTCCAGATGAAGAAACTAAGAAGTAACTGTCCCAAAGTTACATAATTAAAGAGTGGTAGAATGGGATATCTACTCACCTCCACCTGTCATCCAAGATGAACTCACAGCTCCCAATTCCACAAAATATCAATACTAAAAGGAACCTTATGTTTCAATTATAATCTGTTTCAATTATCTTCATTTTGCAGGTGATTACAGGAAAAAAAGTAAAAATATCCTGTTCAAGGTCTCACAGTTAGTGGAAAAACTAGGTTTATGACCCAAGTCTCCTGAGCCACCCATCCCCATTCCTCATGTTACCCAACTCACAAAACAGCATCAGATAAGTACATCTTCAGGTTCAAGCGATTCTCCTGCCTCATCCTCCCCAGTAGCTGGGATTACAGGTGCCCAGTTAATTTTTGTAGTTTTAGTAGAGATGGAGTTTCGCCATATTTGCCAGACTGGTCTTGAACTTCTGACCTCAAGTGATCCACCAGCCTCGGCCTCCCAGAGTGCTGGGATAACAGACGTGAGCCACCACACCTGGCCTTGTGTAATCTGAACATCATTTAGAGTTTCTTATCATGGTATAAGTTTTCAATAAATGTTTTTCAAATGAAGATATGAGTCACAGTAAGTGAATAGTAATCATTAATGTTTATAGAAGGCCTTCCAGTTCCCAGAGCAGTTTAACTTACTTGATCCTTCCAATGATTACTTAGATAAGTTCCATTAATTCCATTATAAGATTCAGGGAACAAATCTGGGAGAGCTAAGTGATGGAATAATTCACTTGTCTACATAAAAGAACTTACGGGACATGGTGTCCTTTCTAATAGGCCATTAACATACTGTTTTATCACAGATGCTTTATAATCCCTTCATAATGTTTGAAGCACTCTGATATATACCCGTCTACACAGCAGAAGTGGCAAGATGGTGAGGTTTGTCTTTAGTGATCTCAGGTACTTTTTTAAGATTTATTTTCCTATTCATGGAACCTATATTTCCAAGTTGCCTCTTGATGTCTTGTGCTCCACAATCAGTATTTACTCTTAAGAAAGTATCATCATGTCCAACTGGTGATGATTAGAGTCACTAAATTGTTTTCCTCCAGAGATACTTCCACTGTAAGCTCCTCTGCAATTGAAGTATGAGGGGCTCCAGATAGGCAAGGACTCCTCCAAAGACTAGTGGAAAACAATTCTTGTAGTGAGGAAGAAGTTGTGAGTGATGCCCTCATCCTCCTGCCTTCGTTCAGTTGAGTATGCTGGGCCCACCTTCTTGATGGATTAAGATGTGTGCCATGCAGTTGAAGAGATGTCGATAGGCAAGAATGAAAACCCTCATCTCTCCTTTCCTAGGAGAGGTATTTGAGTCTAAGGTGGTCCACTCATTTCTCTGAACACATCTGACTTTGACGGGCAAAAAAAGGCAACTATAATTCCCTTATTTAATTTTCCAAACACCCTTGCTAAATTGAGTTTAATGGCATAACATTCATATTCTGAATTTACATATGAGAAGAAGACAAGAAATTAGGTACCCTAGGGATGAGATATAGAGCCAGGTTTAATTTCATGTTTCTGAAACCACCCCGTACCCATGGTATGTGTTTATGGTAGTGCTGAGGGTGAGAGTGGGGCAGCTTAAGTTCCTTAAACAAAGACCCATTCAATGTTTTAGTTAAAGACTTTAGAAAATGTGTTCTGGAAAGTCTCATCCTGCGACATGTTCCAAGAAAGAAAATTTCCACAGTCAAAAGACTTTGGAACACACTGCACACTACATTCCACTCTCCAAAATCCACATGATACAGGGGCATATTGAAGGCTTCGAAAAATCCTCTAGTAAGGAAACCTGTTTCACTTGAAACATGTGACCACAGAACCACAATGGAGTGGAGAGTAGTGGGGCAGGAGGGGCTGGGGTCAAATAGCAGCAGGGAAGATCAGTTCGTGATTTGCCCAGCTCCCTTTGAGAAAGGTCGTTCTATCCAATATGCTGCTGTCCTAATGATTATCAGCTAATTCTGCTAAGAGCTGTTAATGACTTCTAGGGGCATTTTAATCTCAACTTGAGAAAAAACTTTCTGGATATCATAACAGTTCAGCAAACAAATGGCATGCGTCAGGGATCAGAGCTCACTAATAGAGAAGGTTAGAGCAGTAATAAAAAGATAATAATAGTAGTAGTCAACACTTTGGTGCCTTTATGTGCTCCATACTCCTCAGACAGTATTCTGTGTTTTTTCTTGGATTCCACATTGAATACTCACCAAACCCCATGCCCCCCAAATGGGAAGCAAGTATTAGCATACCCACATGACGTGTGAGGAAGCTAAGGCATAGCAAGGTAAAATAAGGTAAAATATCCTGCCCAAGCCCCAAAGGCAACCCTAACCCCAATGCACAAAGCTATTGTCCTGTACTTGCAGGAGTGGCTTAGCAGGTATTTGGGCATTGGGGAGGAGGCTGAATTAGATGAGCTCTAAGTCTTCCTCTAATTAAACATACTTAATATTAACAAAAGAAAGGTAAAAATTAAAATTAGTTTGCTTGTACACTACAGAAATATACATAGTTTTAAATCCAGGAACTCTTGAATTCCTCCCCCACCACCTTGTTTTTTTTTTGTTGTTGTTGTTTGTTTGTTTGTTTGTTTGTTTTTATCATGTGAAGGCCTTTTTCTTCTGAGGCATGGTGGCTACTGACTTTGTAAGAGATTGTGAAATATTTGTCTCACAGGAGAAGATAAAATTACCTTTACTAATTTATTGACTCTCCTATGTAATCACTAGTAAATGAACTTTCAAATTCAGCAACCCTAGAAACTGTGAATTAATGCTATCAGTCAGCAGAGGAAATGCCAGGAATATTAACTTAAGTATTGATGCTGGGTAAGAAGCAAGGCTTTACCCTCATCTGCCTCCATTTTGTCAAGAATATATCTGAGGCATTAACTTCTCTGAAATTAATCTGGAAAAAACAATCAAGCATTGCAACCCATCTTTCTGGAAAAAAGAAAAAAAATTTGCTAGAGGTGATTTGAAGTCCCCTTGGTTCTATGACCTTATTTTTTTTTTTTATAGAGAAAGAAGACTTTGAAATTCACTGTGTTTCAGCTTGGACTTCAAACTAAATTCAGGTTGCTTGCCTTTCTACCATACAAACACACACACAGACACACACACACACACAAATACAGTGCTTATCATTCAGCCTAGAATTTAGAAATGACTTATAGAAAGCACATAATTAATAAATGGCACAGTCAGAACTAGGACCCAATTGTATCCCAGGTCCAGGAGAGGGATGATGCCAGGAAGTCACAGATACCCTTGAGTAGGGGGCTCATCTGGTCTGCTTTTGTTCCACAGGCTGCCCTCAGCATTCACGGCATGTGCGGGGGACCAATGCTGGGTTTATTCTCCTTGGGTATTGTGTTCCCGTTTGTGAACTGGAAGGTAAGGATCCCACAGCCATCTTCACAATTCCTAGTCAAAAACTGGTCCCAGCCATTTCTTCCTCCTCTCACCCCTGTTTGGAAAAGCTATTTGTCTTAACCAGGAAAAGAATCCACAGTAGAATTAAACAGAGCTTGAGTCTACCTATCTCTGACTTCAGTGACATTTTTCTGGGAACAGAAATGAAAGAAAAGCAGAGGTAGTTATGAACTATCATATATCCTGACATGAAAGCTGACTCTTTAAGGTTAAATTAAGTCTTCTCTAAATTAAAGGCCCACAACATTAATTGTAAAATAGATTCTGAATTCAAGAATAGTTTTGTTGAAACACAATTTTGAAAATTCATATTTACAAATGTAAATCTAATTGTTTTCTGTGTATAGTTACCTAGATTTATAACTAACTTTATTAAACTAATTAACTAATTTATGTAGGGGAGAAGGGACAAACTTGGGTTCTGACAGCTGGATCTTCATTTTGCTGCTCTGGCAAGCTAACAGTATGTCTTCAAGTAAATGTTGGCTGGATAACTGTGTATTGAGTATAAATCAAAATAAATAATTATCTGGAAAATAATATAACAATATTTTTTAAACATTTATAATAGCAGGATTTTCTCAATCTAACAAAATTGCCATTTTCCAGTTACTGCCATCTGCACACTTACATGCATGTATTTCGAGAAAAGTCTTTTGATTCCAGAAAGCTTGACTTTATACTTATTTATCTATATACTATAGGATATTCCATAATGTCTGTGTCAGATAGTATACCTGATTAGGTCTCTGTGGCTACCTGACCTTTATTGACCCTTCTCCTAGATAAATCTTGTTGGGCTAGGTAAAGAGGTTGATGGGTAGTGAGCATTCGGGTCTTTGCAGCACTTCCCAAGCAGTCTTAATCACTTGTCTGATATTGGGGTTGACAAGAATATTATGTCTTTGGGGAGATAATGTGAGGGAAGACAATATCCTAGCCACAAAAAAATATGAGCTAACTACATAAGATTTTACAGTGCACTGTAAACATTAATTTATTATCTATGTTAGTACATTGGAGTTTTTTTCTATTTGGTCAGGAAAACCACCTTGATTTCTCTTACTGAAACCACCTTGTCATTTTTGGCAGCCATTGGGGCCCTCATTTACCCTGCGTCAGCCTCTAAGACATGTCCTTTGCCTAGATATTTACTAAAGTATAGTAAATATTATAAATTTGTGTCACCTCTCCCCTCATCAATGGCCATGACTGATCCTACTAACCAATCATGGCTCTCCTTCCCACAGAATGTGGCTGCAACTTCAGAATCTGTCTCAACATGGCTCTCCAGCTAGCTATTATAGAACAACCAGGGTTAGCTGTCCAGTTGAAATCCATTTGCCACTTACTGGTAGGCCAGGGGTCAGCAAACAATATGCCTCAAGCCAAATCTAGCTGGCCCCCTGTGTTTGGTAAGGCCTTCAAGCTAAAAATGGTTTTGACATTTTTAAGTGGTTGGGAAAAAAAAGTCAAAAGAAGAATAATATTTTCTGGCACAAAAATATTATATCAAATTCCAATTTCAGTGCCCATAAATAAAATTTTACTAAAACACAGCCAGCCTCTTCTGTTTGGGTATTGTTCTATAGTTGCTTACATGCTATAAGAGAAGAGCTGAGTAGTTGTGACAGATACTGCATGGCTCATGAAACCTAAAATATTTATTGTCTGACTGTTATATTAGAAATTTGCAGACCACTTGTTTAGACCAAGGCACAAGTATTCAAATCACACACACTGATTTAGTTTCTTCAAACAATAATGAAGAAAGCATTCTGGAACTCTTACCACGGTCTCTTCTATTCTTTTCTGATTAACTAGAGAAGCCAACAGGTTTGTTTTCTCTGACTCAGAAGGCTCAGCTTCCTAGCAGTGACCAGAAACATTTGATTATATTCTCTAGTGGTCCTAATCTCTGCTAAATTGTTCTGCCTCCTCTACAAGAAAAACGATTCTTTGAATTTTCATTATTTATCAAGAAATATAAACCTTAAATGACAAGACTACTAAATGCACTTGCTAGTATTCATACTCAAACAAAAAAACCTCAAAACTAGGGATTCAGGGGACTCTGTCAGTTACTTAGGAAGAGAGATAGGAGTAATATTTTCTGTATAAAAGCTGTCGATAACAAAAAATGATTCTAATATTTGAAGTTTTCCTTAACTTCCGAAAGTCTTCTAATGAGAATCAAAGTTTCAGCAGCTTTTTAAGTAGTAAGAGAAAGAAACCCTAAGGAGAAAAATAATTATTGCTAGAAATCTAAATATATTGATCAGTGTGAAATTATCTCGTGTCTTCGTTTAAAGAACAAGTCACTCCTTAATAAACCTGCATTATGGGAATTGAGGTGAAGGCAGTTTGAGTAGAGTGTTTCCAAAACATGGGGCCAAGATTTGGGGTGGAATGCCAGAATCTCTAAGGCATAGAACTCCTCATCTCATTATTCTTTCAATAGACAACTTTGTCAAATTTCCCATTAACTTTTTTCTTCTTCATCCAGGGTGCACTAGGAGGTCTTCTTACTGGAATCATCTTGTCATTTTGGGTGGCCATTGGGGCCTTCGTTTACCCTGCACCAGCCTCTAAGACATGGCCTTTGCCTCTATCAACAGACCAATGTATCAAATCAAATGTGACAGCAACAGGGTCTCCAGTGCTATCCAGCAGGTATGCTGACTTTAAAGATGGCGCTGAGTCCCAGAGAGTAGGTCACCCGGTAAGAGGGAGGTGCACTCTTCAGAGATAAGTGTGATGAGACACATCTTGCTCTCTTGTGAGACTCACTCTGGGAAGTACCCAGCACTGAAGAGTGCCACGCAGGGCTGCAGCTTTCTGCAGATGTCCATTGTATGTCTGAATACAGAAGTATTCAGACATACAAAAACGGATTTGGTGAAAGAGTTAATGGGAGATATGAGTACAAAACAGAAAAATAGTGGAGGGTTGAAAGGTGACTGGGTATGAGAAATATGGTGTCCTCAAAGAATAAAACTGAGTAGAAGAAGTTTGTGAGCAATGAGGATAATGCTTGTAGGTATGCGGAGTTAGGAGCACTGCTATGAACCTATGGCTTCTAAACCAAACAATATGAACACAGGGTTTAACAAAGGATTTCCCTTTCTGCTTCTGGCTGGGGTAAGTGATCAAAAATATCAAAACACATCAGATACTATTGTGTAGAGAGAAGATTGTGGACTTTGAAATGTGAAATACCTGGGTTTGGATTTTGGTTTTACCATTTATTCCCTCTGTATCTTTGGACAAGTTAGTAAGTTGTAACTTCTTGAATTCTCAGAGCCCTTGATTGAAAAATGAGGGTATTAGTACCTACTATACTTCGTTTTTGAGAGGATCAAATGAGATGACTATATATCTCTCTCTCTCTCTTCGTATGTATATATGTTTGTGTGTGTATATATGTATATATGTGTGTATATATATGTATGAGTGTGTATATATATATCAAGTGGCACTACACATGACTTTAATAAATGTTCACTCACATTCTAATTGTATGTAAGAGCAAGTCTAGAAAATACAGGATTTGTGTTATTTGTGTATCCTCAAAAGTACTTCATTTTTAGTAGCCCTTTTCTGATTATCATCAATACCTCCCTGTACACGCTCATTTCCTCTGAGCCCAGCCTTCTCAAACTGGCCAGGTAATGTGGCAAATTACATTTATGAAAGTCTCTCTTGGCCCGGCATATCTTCTCCTCTCCATTGTCCTTGTCAATCTTGAGGCAAGTCTCGTCATTACAAAGTCCAGAAAAGTGAAATTATCTTATTTGTATTTTTGATTTCCTCCATTTTTCTATTTTCTCTTCTTTTCTAATACAACCCATTCTATCCAAGCATCACTAGATTTATTTTTTCTGAAGCGCCTTCCTGAACTCATTACTACCACATGGAGATGACTTCAATGATTCATGTGCTTGTGGAATAAAATGCAACCTTTATCCTGGAGCTAAATATCTGCCAAACTTTCCTGTGGTTTTAATGTTATTAACTATTGTTTTCCTTCTACTCTGAATTCTGTCTCTTCTCTTCTACCTATGCCTATCCCACTCTTTCCTACATTTGGGTCCTTAATCAAGCTATTTCCTCCATAGTAATGTCTTAGTGTTCATTTCTACTCTCCTAAAATCTGTTTATTTTTCAAGAGCTGTACTAGTGTTCCCCATTCCTCCATAAAATTCATTTTGACTCAGGTTCCAAATGGGCACTCCATTATTTTGCTTCCATTTGCCTTTGAGTTTCATTTTCTTTCCATAAATTTTATATCAAAGAATTTCAACCTATTTATGGTTCATCAGAAACCATGTCGATTCTTCCCTCCTGCCTTTACTTACTGTATTACCTTCTTGGAATGCTAATTCCTGGCCCTGACTACCCTCTTTGCTTGATTAACTACTAATTATTCTTTCAAAATGAGCTGAGGTATCATCTCATGCATTGATCTGAATTTGATACTACTATGAAGGCTGCCTTAATCTTTTATACCTCTTCTACTGAGGCAAAACTAACCCATTTTATGATTATCTATTAGCTCCTATATGTAGACTTTGTGACTTTCTCATCTTTAGATAACTAATGCCTGTCACAATCACTAGCACCAAATCTGGGCTTAATAAATATCTGAAGAATAAATAATACAAATGAAATGAAAGACACAATCCTCATGGTAATACTTATGATTCAGTATCTATATTGTTATATTTTTAATTCAGGAATGAATTAGATTGAGTGGAATGCAAAGCACATTTTGTCTAAATATAATTTTTTAAATGACAAGAAGTTATGCTTTAGGCTTTTGAGATGCCAGGCCCTAAAATGAATCCTGAGCAGTCCTCTATACCACTGTGGGTCTTTAGAATGCACGGAATTGGTGACATGTGCTGTTTTCCACAGACCTGCAATAGCTGATACCTGGTACTCAATCTCCTACCTTTACTACAGTGCAGTGGGCTGCCTAGGATGCATTGCTGCTGGAGTAATCATCAGCCTCGTAACAGGTTGGTTATAATTCCTCCCTTTGGGACTAAAGAAGATATGGGCTAATGCATGCATTGGTGGACTGGCTGACTGTCTTATTGGTTTGAATTCAAGTTTCTCAAAAAACCCTTCTTCCCACAGAGATGTCTACTCTCTCAAAACTGACATACAAAGACGCCTTTCATTATTATATATCTGATTATTAATATATAAAACATGTATTCACGGGAGGCTGAGGAAGCAGAATTGCTTGAACCCAGGAGGTGGAGGTTGCAGTGAGCTGAGATGGTGCCATTGCACTCCAGCTTGGGCGACAGAGCAACACTCCGGCTCAAAAAACAAACAAACAAACAAAAAACCACATATATTCAAATATTTCCCATATATTATTTAAAAAAAAGATGCTTTGACACATGTCCCCCAGAAGCTTGAGTATAAAAAACCCTCCGTAATATAACAATCAGTAAATAAGGTTAAATATTCAGAGTGGTTCTTTTCCCCTCATCTCAGTAAGAGACAAAATTTTTGTCATCACCATCTTGCTATCTCATGAAGTCAGCCTTTGCTAACTTACTAGAAAAGCAAAACACTGTTGTTTTTGCCTATGTTGTCCTTTGGAGGCTGCTCCTCTAAAGTCGTGGAGTTCTCTGCAGTGAGCAGCTTCATTGTCAGCCATTTTTAGCAAAGTGTCTACCATCCATACTTGCCCTTTTGATGGATTAATGTCTTTTTTGTTTCAATGCCCATGAGGGATTCATAGTGGTGGTGAGAGTGTGGGAGATAATGGGGTGGAATAAGTTCACTATACTCTTGTCCCTCCACCTCCTTGGAGTACGTATTTTAGCTAAAAAATTTTTAAGGTATTCTACTTTTCCACGACTATTATATACCAGTGAACAATGGCCAACATTCTTACTCAACATGAAACCTGAATGGCAACATTTCTGGTGACTGTGTACTAGAAATGTTATATGCAAGTTCCAATACCCTATTGTTCTGCGCGTGATGTCACTAGCCATTCACTGAAATTTAAGAAGATATTAGCTATGATAAAGAATTGACTATAAATCTTGTAACCCCAGTCTTTCACATAATAACAATTCTCTCAATGTCTTTATTTAAATAGTTCCAGGCGAAAGATTGTTTATTCAATTTGTTTAGATTTTTGCCTTAGAACCCTGACATCCTTGACTCCTTCCTTGATGCTGGAGGAATATACCTAGACATTTCAGTTTAGTGGTCAGTCGCCACTAAGAAGACAGCCAATATTTCAGCTGCCTGGACATTTCCTTCTAAAGCAGGAAATGTGTACACATGAAATCCAGTGGTTTGTCAGTCTATATTTTCCATGTGTGCACCAGAATTAGCATGCTGTTATGTTGATACAGCAGCACTTATATTAAATTTGATTGAAAATTCTTGCACATTTTCAGCATGAACAACTCTTTTGGTATTAATCCCTATGTTTTCTTTTTCTCCAAATGAACCAGGTCTTAGTGAAATGCCCTTGAGACCAAAAGCGAACATGTAACAAAGTCTAGTTATGCCTTCAAACATTTGGAAAAATTTTGGAACATGACCACTAGATGTTCTTGCCTCCTGGTGCCTGTCTTCCAAATGAGGCCTTACTGCTAGCCTGATACCCTCAGGTCTGCTCACCAAGAGGGTTTAACAAATCTTATGTAATACCCACTGAATCTTTTAAAAAGTCTTACAATGTTGAAATGTAGAATAGGGTCAGTGAGGAAGGACAGAGGCCTTTTGTGGGCCTGTTCTCCCTGTGTTATATTTTATCTTGGTCTTATTTGGTCTTAATAGGTAATGTATTCAATTATACTTCTTCCAGAAAAAATATGGCACCTAAAAGATATGCCGTTTATGTTACTCATATATGTTGACACATAGAATCATGTCTGTGTTGATTAGCAACTCCAGGAAGTTTATATCATTAATCATTTTGTGTATCAGCTTCTGAAAGGAGATCTTGGGCTAGGATACACTTTAAATTCTTCATTATTACTGATAAAATTCTGCTGGGTGGCTGAAAATTATTTTTTCATTTTTCCAATTTAGACATGTGAAATGAAAATATCATTTCCTAAATCAAGAACAAATACCATTGTTGGTGTATCAAGTGACCAAAACATCCCATTATCAGGACAGTACGTAGAGATTGATGCTACTCTGTTTTTCAGTGTACAGTAGTTTATATTTATCTGAATCTTACTGTATTTTTCTCATTTACCATAAAGCTGCATGTCTCTTTATGGACATGCAGATCTTTAGTTATGGATATGAAGTCTTTAGTTATCAGTCTATTATTTTTATATTTTAGATTATGGTTCCATATATTAAGGTTAAATGTGGCCTACTACCTATTTTCTTTTTCTTTTTTCTTTTTTTTAGTTTTCTAGAAACAGAGCTTGCCCATTTATTTGCTTTTGACTATGGTTGATTTCACTCTATAGAGGCAGAGTTGAGTAGTGGCAACAAACATCTGGCCAGCAACGCCTCAAATATTTACTATCTATCTCTTAACATACAAAAATTAATCTTTGTGTTAGATAATTCATCTCATCAGAGAAATTTACTGTACTACTTTATAAATTGCCAGGAATTACGCAGCTCTGTATAATGATGTGAGATAGATAAAAAAATATTCTAGCTTTCAGTTTGCTGTGGTGAAAGCTGATACCATTCTAATTTCTGATTCTTGTATGTAATCTACCTTATTTCAGTCTCTCCTGTTTGTCACACAGACACACACAGATACACACACACACACACACACACACACAGACACATACACACACACTCATACCATTCTTTCTGTTGAAAGTTTATAGACCATCTTTTTATTCATAGGTTTCTGAAATTTTATGTCCTTGCCACTCCTAATCTGACTTTCTTGACTTGCAACTTAAGCCTATATCTTGTACTCAGGACTTCTGCTGAGAGTTTTGGGGCTTGTGCCCAGTAGAGGGACCATGTAGGGAATGGATTCTAGGTTGCATTCGGCTCGTGGAGTCAGTACCTTGGCATAGAGTTGCTTCTGCTTAGAGGAAGGGGAACTTTCCTCAAAACCACCCCAAGTTACTATACATCTAGTGACATTTCCTCTATAAGCATGAACTTTCTTTTCCTTAGGAAAAACCCACTTGTCTACAGGAAATGATCTCATCCCCTTTGACCTTCTTCTCTTTTCTCACCTAATATGTCTACAGTCCTGCAACCTCTTGACGAACTTGGTTTCACCCAATTTTCTCAACAGTCCACTGATGCTCAATCCCTAAGGTCTTGCTCATGAAAGATGATAAATCCATGATTGAAGGCAAATACAGAGCTTCTGGTTTGAGAATTTGAGTTTCATTTTCAACTTTCCTATCTGTGAGAATTATAGCCCTATACTTTGCTTTACCATCTACTATCTCCCAAAGGCAATATTCTCTTTTTCTAGAGGAAAACAGAATATAAATCCATATGAAGCAAAGAGTCCTGTCCAAATCTCAGGACCTGCTCTTCAGAGACAATAGATCACCATCATTTGTTGGAATGTTTGATACTTTTGTGGTTCATTCAGAGACAAAACTCTTCTCTGTTTGAAACCCTGGAAATGACTTTGTCCCAAATTAAATTATTCTGATTCAGAGATGCCCTTGCATAGAATTTTGAGGTTGTGCAACCCCTCCTCTGCCACTCACACATATACACATATTAAGACAAATGGAGGGTTACAGAGTGTGAGATCACACATGTTTAACTAAACATATATTTCATCATTTATTAGCTCATATAAAAGTTCACCATTTCCTCATCCATGAAAAGAGAATAATAATACTTACCTATTTATAGGGATTAGTGATAATCTATGTAAAATGTGCCCAGTATGTAGAATACACTGACTAATTGATAAATATTATTATCAACACTAGTAGAATTCTATGTGGTCAAATGTCTTGTGACAGGGTGATGTAATGCCAGGGAATAGATTGTTTAAACCTCAATTTAGAATTTTAAAAATCTACATTTTTGGCCAGGCACAGTGGCTAACGTCTGTAATCACAGCACTTTGGGAGGCTGAGGTGGGCGGATCACTTGAGGTCAGGAATTTTAAACCAGCCTGGCTAACATGGTGAAACCTCATCTCTACAGAAAAAAATGCAAAAAATTAGCCAGGTGTGGTAGTGCGTGCCTATAGTCCCAGCTACTCCAGAGGCTGAGGCAGGAGAATCACTTGAACCCGGGAGGCAGAGGTTGCCGTGAGCCGAGATCATGCCACTGCATTCCAGTCTGGGCAATAGCATGAGACTCTGTCTCATACAAAAACCAAACAAATCTACAATTTTTTTTCTTGTCTCTAGAAAGCAGTTTGAGAAAAAGTTTGTGGATGGGCACAGTATCTGGCACTTAAAAGAAATTTGATCAACGGTATAACCGCTACTCCACTTTTCCTTCTAGTATCTTTACACTACACTGAGTATGGGACTAATAACTATCATTGAATGATATAGGGTATTAGTGAATAGTCTTTATGACTTAAAATTTGCATAAATTCTGGGAGGAGCAACATCACTGGCATTTATGTCTTGGTTTGAATATCAATTTGACTCTTGTTCCACAGCAGGATTTGAAGAAATAGGACATTGAACAGGTATGTTTTGAGGAAGGGAAAAGGAGGTGTGAGGAGTGAGGAGGTGTGAGGAATGCTTAAAGTACCTGGGAGGAACATGAGGATATTGCTTGTTCAGGATGTTAGGGTGAAAGAAAAGAAGGAACAATAAAAATACTCTTTCTAATTTTACAAATACTGACTTAGATGATCTCAAATATTAATATATCTGGTTTGGCTAAAAAATCAAGAGCTTTTTTAAAGGAAGAAATTGAATAATTACTGCTCTCCCCTCTGTTGGCCAAGGAAGGGTACTAGTAGAGTTTTCTATAATAGATATTTAAAAATAAATAGGTTGTCTCTGTTTAACTCTACAGTCATGAGTCTACCTGACCTGATAATTTGTTGATGTTTAAAAATGAACTCCTACCTCTTTCAGCAGTTAAGCAATTTCTGTTTATTAACCACTCAGTCTTGTTTTCACTTTTATTCTAAAAAGTAACCTACTTTTCAAGTTGACAATGTTTAAATTTGTAAAGGAAGAGCTGGAGGCCTGCAACTGTCTAATCTATTTGTTCTTTTGTTAATAGGTCGCCAAAGAGGTGAGGATATTCAACCACTGTTAATTAGACCAGTTTGTAATTTATTTTGCTTTTGGTCTAAGAAGTACAAAACACTATGCTGGTGCGGAGTTCAGCATGACAGTGGTACAGAGCAGGTGAGCTGATGTTTGAGCTTCTAAAAATGTGTATGGACTCAAAGGGATTCCTGGTTTTGCCTATTTAAACCAGCTGCAAAGATGCACTGGAAAGGGAAGGCAGTGATTGAAAGAACTTGAAAGAATTTGAGTTTCAACTTCAGAGTTACCTCAGCTAATCAGCTTTTAAGCACATAAATATGTTGATAGGTAAAAGTGCCTTGAAGCTGAATTATTGGCATTACGGGTGGTCAGTTTTCAAAGCTTGTTTTAACCCTTATGAAGGTGAATTGTAGGAAAATATAAAAGCGAATCATAGAAAAGGAACAAATTGAAGGCACATTCTCCTATAATAGTTCAAAGCATGGACCTCAGCATCAGATAGTCCTGGGATTAATCCTGGTTCCATGTCCTCCATTCCTTGGGTAAATTATTTAACTCCTCAACTCTAGCTTTTCTGATCTGAAAACTGGGTGGGTGAGAGGGGGATTATCAGAGCAACATGGACACAAGCATTTCCAGTTCCATGGGATATAAATGGAAAGCAAGGTCATGGTGGGAATGCACAGGCAAAGAAGCAGCAACATGCACCTAACTCTCTAACTCCCCAGCTCTTTTTATTCTGGGAAAAAGAAGTGTGTTTAGGTCAGGCAGTACTAGAGACACTGTCCAAGTATTATTAAGGTTTCATCAGCCAAAGACCACCAGAAAGAGCCTGTAGTTAGACAAAATTGGACTTACCGACTTGATGCAGCAAGGTGGGGTACTTCAGAGGAATCGGCGAATGCCACCCTCAACAAGAGGGAGGAAGAACATGTCTTGTAAGGTTTGGGTTCCCACTGAAGGATTCTTAAAGGGGTCTACGGGAAGCAGAAATGACCACAAAGCTATCTGGGGCAGCATTGGTAAGAGTGCAATGGTCACTCAAAGGGTTGTTATGGCATTTGATGACTGCCAGATCTTGGGAGCAGCTGGCCTTATCAGTGTCTGTCTTCCCAGCTTGATTAAGTGCAAGAGTGTTTTTGTTGTTATTGTTGTTGTTGTGTTTTTCTTTTTAGTTTAAACTTATATTCACTTTTAGTCCCAGACATTTTATTCTTTTATGATTTTAGGAGAGGGAAGCCTAACCCGAATCACGGCAAATATTTCTGAGTTGCCCATTGCTCTCCTCTCCAGAAAACAGCAGAATAACATGTATATCACCTAAAGCTGAGTTTATTACTTATGGCCGGAGGCAAGAGCACCAGGTTTACAGAGAGGCTCAGAGAATGGAAGTTAGGTGCAGACATTTATAGAATTCTGAGCTTAAGTGACTTAAGGTAGATCTTTCAATTCAGGGTTCTTATTGGAACTGGGCAAAACTGTGGTGTAAGAATTTAAAGTTGGAAAACATAGCCAGGTGAAGGTCCTAAAGTCAGTTTTGATAATTGAACCGTGGCTTGATAAGCAAGGAGTTTGCTTCATTGAACAATCTATACTTTGGAGAAAAGGGCTGTTTACCCAGATGAGAAATTTATTTTGCTTAGAAGGCAGCTGGTTAAGCAGCCTATTGTTTGTATAAATGAATTTTGAGGAAGTTCTAGAAGCAACGGATCAAGTTATTTATTGGTTCGCAGACTCAGGAAGATAGAATTTCCTGGAATAAATAATAAACTTACTTAATTCAGGCAGCCAGCTTCTGTTCTCAAGGCTAAGTTGAATGGGAGGGGACACTCCTTGTGTCACTATTGGGCTTCTTTGCCAGAAAATAATGTTGAGCAGCATCCAGGGGAGTTTGTGTATAGGTGTCCCTCTTATTATCAGCAGGCTCTCCTATTCCCTGGTAGGAAGGGGGCCATCCTCATATGAGATAGAGGTATGTTTCTCCTTATAATGTAATACTACTACCTGACGGGATTGCTGGGTTAAATGAGAGATGTAAAAATTTCTTCATGCAACACAAGACATACTGTAAATGCTCAATAAATTGTTCTTTTTGCTGTTATTATCATTAGAAATAGTACCTTACATGGATTATCAAAGTTATCAATTAGAAATTGTCTTAGGTCAGAGTTGTTTATGCTTCTTTTGTACTTATATATAATTTTTTGAAGCCGAAGCCTAAACAAGATTCTCTCAGGTTAATTTGGAATACATCAAGGCTATATTGCTAATATGTGTCTTTCTATTTTCCTCAGGAAAACCTTGAGAATGGCAGTGCCTGGAAACAAGGGGCTGAATCTGTCTTACAGAATGGACTCAGGAAAGAAAGCCTGGTACATGTTCCAGGCTATGATCCTAAGGACAAAAGCTACAACAATATGGCATTTGAGATTACCCATTTCTAAGGCAATACCTGTATGAATGCACACACACACACAGACACACACAATATACACACACACAAACACACAAACTCCACATACTTCTTGCCTATTTGTTAGTAGATTTGTATAGTTGCCATTGCTAGCAGACAGGGATGTCTGCTGCCTATTTGTACTTATTTATTACTACATGCAAAATACTGTTTCCCAGGATATTATCTGAAAGACTCCAACTTTCACAGAGAAAAACCAATCTGCTCCAAATGTCCTTGACTACTTCCTTCTTGAATAAATTAGGACTGGATTTCATCACCATTCAAGAAATCAAAGTCTGTTTGCTTGGTGTCGTATTAAACTTCAGGTTTTTCATTTTAGTAGTTTTTTAACCATCAAAATATCTTGGATTTTAAAGGCAGAATGGGCAATAGGAATATGCATATTATTGCTTTTCTACCACGAGGAATAAAACAGAGGAATGACATCCACCTCTGACCTCATACCTCACATATATGCAGACATTTTATGCCACCCATCTCCCATCCTGTAGCTGCAATTGGCATACAACTATTAACATACTATTAACATCCCTTCACCACCACTATTAGGTCCTCTTCCAGTCATTCCAGTCATTAGCTGTCCTGACCAAACATTAAAAAAAAATTCAGCTAAGTGCAGAAGGAGAATATGGTATGTCTGGCTAGTGGGAGCGATTATAACTAAAATCTCTGCTCCTTTTATGTTGTCCATGCAGTATTTCTTCTTCCTTTCTATCACTTTACAATGAAAAATTGCCTCAGAGCTCAATAAGAAGTCTGGAGCCTTTTTCCAGGGCTAAGTAAAGAGAAAAGGAATGTCCTATAGAAGGTTGTTAGAATAGAATTTGGTAAAAGAACGTTGCAAATAGTAAACAGACCATAGATTTCACCAGCAATAGTGTTCTTCTTTGGACAAAACACATTGTCCACAAGACTTGTACTCTGCTCATTCAGCTCATGTGAGCAAGTTCAACTCACTCCACCGGGTAAGGTAACAAAAATGGAGAACTTCATAGTTCGTGTCTAGAAAATAATGTTTAAAGTTCTGGATAATGAGGGCATTGCCAATTAAAAGGCGAGTTGACAAATGAAGGAGCAGTGAAAGATTTTTGGAGGAAGTGAAGAAATAAAATTCTGAAAAGGTAAAAGAAAGAAACAGTATGTCACGGGGCAAAGTCAGAGGACAGATAATAAGAAACAAAGTTGTATCTGAGAGTCATATATTAGGACAGGTGTCAGATATTTATTTTGGCGGCCAGATAAGAGCAAAAGGCCTAGAAACATTGCATTAGCAAAGTAAGAAGAAATAGTTCAAATAGGCAAGCATAAGGAACTCCAAAGGTTGTCTTTAAATAGTTCTTGAAAGAGAAAGCCTTGAAAGAAGCATGCAATAGACAATACCAATATCTATTATTAGAAAAGATAGAAAGACAGACAAATCAATGGAGGAATTAAAACAGACACACTGGAGTTTACAAAACAGAACTCAATCCTTGCCTTCTCTCCCTCCACTCAAATAGAAAAGGAGAATAGAGAAAGAGAAAAAAGGTATTGGGCTACAGTTTATAAGAGAGATGAGAAAAAAAATACATTTGGGATAAGAGGGAAGGGGTCAAAAGGGGGCACATTTGGAGAAATATCTGAAAACGAGAAGGAGCAGAATTTTTGGAAACATTTTTCAAAGTCTGGCAATGCTAATTAAGCTGTTGATCTAAGGATTTGCAAATTGAGAGGTGCAATTATTTTCCAAATGACTTGTGATACTCTTATTAATTAGAATACATATTTTGTGAATATTGAAATCTGAGCCAAACCTAGTTGGCTTTATTAATATCTTAGGGAAAGAAGAGAGAAAGAAAGAGGGAGAGACAGAGAGAGAAAGAAAGAAAGGAAGAGGGAGAGAGAGAGAGAGAAAGAATAAAAAGGAAAAAACAGCAATTCTGAGGATGAGAATAAATTAATGGTAGGCATTATATATGCATGTACATATATATACATGTGCATACATATATATGTAAATATGATTTGGAATACATCAGGATTGTGAACTTCCATTTGGGATAGCATAAAAACAAAATATACCGTACAGTTTTTCCTTTTACTCACAAATTTTACTCATACATTTTCCTAAAGACATTTCACTGGGTCAGTACATTTCCGCAAAAGTTTTAAAAATGTTTTTTCTTTTACAGTCCCTAATTATCTTACCTGGAGTGTTATCAAAATGTCATACAACTGGAAGATGCAATTATTATAATAAAAATATCTCTGCCTTCCTTGTGTAATGAAATTTATGGCATTAGCAGATGACATTTCAAGAGATTTTAGAGGTCATTGTAGAGACTCCCCCCATTCTTCTTAATTGAACAAACAGGCATAAATCTAGGGTTTCAGGTAGAGAGCAGATGGGAATCTGTGGGAAACTGTCTTCCACAGTGTATGAAAATCGTGTTTGTTGTGTGATGAAGCAAAAGGGAGCTATGAAGTGCACAGTCAACAGATTCAGCTAGTGAGTCCCAGCACTCCTCTCAGGCCCTCCCTAGGATTAGCAGCCCAGAGTCATGCCAAGGCCACTGGTGCAGTACAAAGACAGTCCAGTGACAAGTTCCATCCATACCATGGAAGAGGGTTTAACTCGTGGCTGTTTTTGCCACAGCATGACCAGAGACATTCTCAATAAATGGCACTAGGAATGATGAGTTTTAGAGGGGCCTAAAATGTTCCAAACTTGATACTCAACACTGTGCTTTAAAGCACAACCACAGATACTGGTAAAAATGGAACAGAATTACCTCAATGCCTCTTTAACTCATTCTGAATGAATTCATTTCTGGGACAGATATTTTTTTGTCACCATTTGGAATAAGAACTACAACAGCTTATGATTGAGATGAGGAACTGGAGTCAAATGGCTTAGGTTCAAACACAAATTCTGACATAAATCTAGGTAATTTTGGGCAATACTTTTTAAATGTTACTTTATTTACCAATTAATAGGAGTAAAAATTATCCCTACTTAATAGAATTATTATGAAGATTTATAGAAGTAAATCATATAAAGTGCTTAGCACAGCGTGACTGGCCCACATGGAACATTCAATACTTGGTCTGCAATATATGAAGAACATGGTGTACATGTTAACTTAAATGGTTTCATTATTTCTCTTCAGGATTTTTAAGATGCAGGATCAGAATATATGTTACTATTTTGAGAATAAGAAATAATAAGACAAACAGAATGTATAAATTAAAAGTCATGCCATAAATTTCCAAAGAGTAGTTTTTTTAATGCCAGAGTTTAAATAAAATATTATTTTCCAGAGAGTAACTTTTCTAAAGGTCCTAAATTCTGAAAAGAGAGAAAACTACTGTTATAAACAAGTTTATTACTAAAAGATGCAATAGTCATTATTATGATTTATTATTTTGTACATGTAAACTTTGATAAGTAAACAGTATCTCAACCCAAGTTTATCACTCAATGCACAGTTCAAAGCAACTGTGACTCTCAAAATAGCAACAGAAGGTGGGGAAGGTCTTTTCCCTTTGTTTATATAATGTTTGCTAAATAAGAACTTTACTATTTCATGACTTTACAGGGTTACACCATTTCATTCTAAAGAGAAACAAAAAGTAAACCATTGCCCATGTGGTTTTCAAATAGTATTTCAAAGAGAATATTACTGAAATATTTTTGTGCTGTTACAGACTTAATCAAACATTATTTATGGAGAAAATAGAGGAGTCTCCCTTTAATTGTTCCCTTAGAAATAAATTGTTTTAAAATATTACAGAAGTTATAGCTGTATGTATATGCACATTTGTATATTTACAAGTCTCATGGACTTAATCTCAATATTGTAAATTAGCTAGGTTTACTATAGTTAACTGCTTTTATCTAGCATTTATAATCTTGTAGCATAAGCTCTTTTCAAATAACTAAAATTTAACTGATATCAATGGTACACATGGAATGATACAAATTTATAAACTAATCAAAGGTAACTCATCATTGATAGTGAATTAACTAATCTGTAGTTTTTATTGGTAGTTCTTGGAAAGAGATAACACCATTATTTCCTCTCCCACTCCAATCTCCCAAGTAAATCAATGTAGATCTGCAAATACCCATGTGAATAATAAACATTCACAAGCCCATTTTTCTAATATTATACTTTGGTGTTTCAACTATTAGCCATCTTCAGAAGAAAAAGAGTTAAGCTCATAAGTATTTAACTTCGAAATCACAACATGACCCTTTCTCGAAGTGTCAGGCTGTCATCATAAATTAGAAAAATAATCTTACCCTGTGGAGCAAGATGGTCATTGATAATGATATTTCAGTACATCGGTAGGACATTTAATAGGATATTTTTGTATTTTCAAAATCTTATGCAGCTTTTTAATTTCAGAGTTCTAGAATACATCTAAATCTAATGTTGTTTATACAACTAGTTAAGATTAGGAAAAATGCCTATAAACAAGTATAGTTAAATAATTTATATATAATTATTTAAATTATTTTTTTAAATTAAGTTTTGATTTAAGTGCATGGGAATTATCAATGTGAATATTTTCTACAGGGTTAGGAATGGAAAGGAAGCTAATCATCTATTCTAAAATCTTTTGTTAAAACCTTATAGATTAAGGAAGGTCCACCAGGTGACCAAGTAAGCATATACCAAAATAAGGTTTTTCATATTATATAACATGACTTCCTTTTTGATGTTTTGGATAATGCCTGTAATATTTAGCTTACCATGGGTTAGGAAGCACACACACACACACACACACACAGAAATAAACATCAAGAGGGCTTGTAACTTAATAAAATAGGTTACTATAAATCAAGAAAAGCAATAAATAATGGTGATATCCTTTGTAGACCTTATCCTCAGGAATTTCCAGAAACGATTCATCTGTGTCCTAAGTTGCTAAAGCAAGTGTGTGCACAGGTGTTCAGAACACCTCATTCCTATTACAGGATCTGCTTTTGACACATTTAAAAGGCTAAGAGTAGTTTCACGTAATTCTTTATTTAATGTCTTAATTTAACTGCCATACTAAAAAAATGAGCAACCCTCAAATCATTTATTTGCAGTATAGTATAATATAAGCAGGCTGAATTTGTGGATAACATTATTGACTGGTTTGGAATACACTTCGTAAAAGTTTATATACCTTTATGTTAACTACTTTCAAGAATGCTAATAGGTCACCTTCTGAAAAATTGATTCCGTCTATTTCAACAGAGCAAAGCTTCCTTAAATTGGCTTTAGAATTTAAGAATTTGGAAGGAATGTTTAATGATAACAATACACAGTGTATTTTTTTTTTATGATTTGCAGGGTAACTGTAGTGAGTAAAAGGAATAAAACCAATATTTATAATCATCTGGATAAATATATGGTTGCCACATAATTTCTCCTATTGAGAATAAAAATGGAGAAATCCACTGTTGTCTCTTCTGGCCGTCCCCAAATTCTTTTTTCAATTATAGAATTCCAATAGCTCTTTCCTACTTGAAAAATACAATATAGAGGCCAATGGATGTATATGTTAGGAAGATAAAATTGTATAACCTTAAAATTGTGTATCTTTTTAAGTGTATTTTCATGTTTAACACTGAAAATGAGGCTGTTTATTCTTTGGTTAGAGTTGTCACCAAAATCTAGACTTACTAGATTTAGCTTCATAAATCATAACATAGTCAAAAAAAAAAATCTTCATTTCTTCTGAGTGTTAACAGATGAACTACATTGTGGTTTTTCAGCCAGAAAGAAGGCAGGGCGTGTGCACAGCAGACACTGAAGTAGGATCTGTAAACTAGACATTTTTGCATGGGTAGAAAAGACTCTAAATTGTCTTTATCATTTTCAAAACATTGCTTCCACAATTATCTTTGCCATCCGGTTTTTCTGCCACCCAATCTCTCTTTTCTCACCAGAGACAGAAAAATACGCTGGGTAAAGATCAATGGAAAAGTCTGTTCATATTACTTGTTGGAAAGATACTTAATTTTGCCTGAAGACTTTACTGGTAGGGTTGAATTTCATATATCAACATGCAATTCAAAATAATTGTAATGGTACTGAGGCATTCTGAGTAGCACATGGGGCTAGCCACCTACATGACAATTATTTTTTGAGGAGTATCTAAATAGATTTCATAAAGTTTTGTTTTTCAACTAATAATATAAGAAATGTTACTTTGTGAAAAACAAAGAGGGCAGAGACGTCACTTTAACCACATAGAGAGAATTAAGATGGAAAAAACACTGAGGATGTCAATGAAGGTCTATACCAGAAAATCTCATTTATTTCCTTCTTAGGGAAAGATGTAAAGCAAAGCCCATATAACTGACTGTCTAGTGTAACGAAGACTTCTACTTTGGGCTGGCTGCATGTGAACGGAGGCTTTTTCTAGAGAGAATTTTGCAGAAGCACACATACAGTCACAAAGCAGTAAAACTGGACTTACTTATAGGTTTCTCTTTGAGGGTAGACATTGATAGTAGCAGATATTAGAACTGGTCCCAAATATGAAACTTTTATCTACCAACCTGTTTGTTTCATTTTACTTTCCTAAAAAAGACATCTTAATGTGTGATGTGGCTAGGATGCAGTGAGGGTAACATTTGTCTTCTCTAGAAAACAAAAAAGCCATCAAATGTGATCATGGGTGTGTTTTTTCAAATGAAGCCAGATGGCAAATTCAATTGAAGGTAACTTATCACTGTTACAAAGGTATCAATCCTAGCTAGCAGAGGCCTGGGCTGATCAATGATTCAAGCTAAAGCCCAATTAATATCCCCTTTGGACTATGTATTGTTGTCGTATTTCATTTGGAATAGAAATGCCTGTAGGGAAATGTTTGGCTTTTCATCAGAAACTGGGTTGTTCAGGTCACTCCTAAAAGGTTCTCTCTGAGCCAGTAAGAATAGCAGGAATGAGGTAAGATGTTAACTGATTCCTTGGATGAAACCTAGAACTATACCCAGAGTCTATTTTAATACCGTGATTTTTGGGGGAAATGGAGTGGAAATATCTGGTCACCATAGTAGGACTGAGTTGGGCATTTTTCAAAGATAGTAAATGCTCACTGATTCTTATACAAAAGATGGCAAGATGCAAGTGTGTGTGTGCACACCCCCACACAACACACATACCCTGGGCTTATGTTAACTTGCCCCCACTTGACAGGATAGTCAATCAAGCCATATCAGTTAAGCAACTCTGCAGGCCACCTGGATTTTCCATTTTGACCATCATTAAAA